CCAGCGGATGAGGGAATATCATTTCAACAGGAAAATATTCCCTGTTTTTTCGTCAAAAGGTGAAACGAAAACTCGTGTATTTACACAGATGACAAATTTTCTGAGTAAAAAATATTCAAGTCAACAATAATAGTTTATTAATTGGAAAGGTTTCATGTTGTCCTCGGGTCGAGGGTGACGGGGCATCAGAATAAATTCCCAGGGGAAAGTGATCTCTTCAACTTCTTCATTTCCATATCACAATATTTACTATTATCCACGCAATCAGTCCCCAATGGGGACTGATAACTCCAGGATTATTTTCCTCCTTTTCCTCTGGCTCCCAAAAAAATTCTTATTTACCCAACATCCACTCTAAATGCATGTCTTCCAGACCAAATATTCCAAACATTACATTGCACATCGTGGGAATTGAGAGATACTGGAGGAGAATTGATAAATCAATTCCGCTGAGAGCTTTCGGGAAATTATTACCATAAATTACTGGAAAAGTATTGAAAAAATTATTTCCACAGATTGAATCCACTTGTAACGACAAAATTATTCTGAATTGAATAATTCAGAATAAAAAATTGGAAAAAAAATTGGGTTAATTATCAAATGAAATGATGAATTCAACATTTATACGAATCACGGGATTTCCGGTGTTTGATTCGTGTGTTTATCTGCATAACAATTGCTTCGTACATTGAAATGAATATTTTTTTTCATTTGGCTTGACATTCATGCGAAAAATTTCATTGACTCAAGCAACGACTGTAATAAGGTCCCTCGTCAATGGCGCGTGGCAAACCCCCAATTTTCACCTCGCCATTGGATTTTGAGATCGTTAACCGTGAGTAAATGGTACCACATCAGGGTTGAACTCTTCCCCTAGCCCGAGAATAAAAGGGAATATTCAGTTGGTTGGTAGCACGCAAAACCCAGGAAACGAGATATCTCCTCGATCAATAGTACACGCGTGTCTATTAATCCGTTATTTCACGGACTCCATGAAATTATTTCCTAATTATTGTCTACTGAAACACGAAAGCAGCTCTTTCCTTATAATTCCAATAATAAACATCGAATATTTGTCGAGACTCTTCCGATCGTTGGATTCCAACGAAAAATCCCTCGAACTCATTCCGCTCCAAGAATTATATAATCTCCATATTTGAATTGTTCTCGTCTCCACTCTGTGAGAATTATTATGCATCTCCTTATATTCAGCACACCATTTTTATTTTTATTTTCTCGGGATCCACAGTGGATTCGTCACACGATCGTAAAAAGATGAGGCGGGAAAAACGTGGGAAGAACTGTAGTCGCGCATAAAAACTCATGGAATACTAAACTCAATGCTATTCTTCATTTCACTCATTTTCCATCTTCTTGAATCCCCCCCCCCCCTTCCTCCCCACACACACTCCCATCATTCACACCCCCATCATTCACCCCGCGTATTGATTAGGGGATGAACTGCGCTATAGCGCCATGTGTGGTGATAACAGACTTTGATGAGGCCCTCATGTATCTCAGAAATTCAATAAAACTCTCATCGAATTGTCATTGAAAGCTTAAGACGATTGAGGGGGGTAATTTCGCGGAGATAAGGGGATTCTATTATCCCGCGATGAATCAAATCGGAAGTCCGGGAGTTGAGATTACAGAAATTATCGGGTGAAGTCTCGAGAATCCACTTGGATTTTGGTGGAAGCTGCAGTCTTTAATTTAGAAATCAATTTGCTTATGAGATATTTTACTAATTTTTATTTTACTAATTCAGAATTCCTCCTGTTCTAATGAAGATTTCCAAATTAATATCTTGATCATCTTAAAAATCTCAAGTCAGATCACATCTAAATTTTCTAGTTAAAATTTAAAAATTGATTTGAATATTGTGCGATCTCTCTTTACTGGAGTGAATTTGAGAAATGATATTTCCTTTCCTATTCTCTCCGAGACTGTAATATTTCCAATTAAGAATTTCCGAATTTGAATTAATACATTAAAATTCGAATATTTCCAAATCTCAAAAATCCAAAAATAATTTTTATTTACCTAGTGAAACATGCGGCCAATGAGAGCTCGTAGATGACTGACTGATGAAACATCACCGAAATTTGTGATATCATTCATTAAACCGGAATTCCAGACACGCGCCAATATTGAGGAGTAGATGTGTCCTAGGGTGGCGAAATTCCGGGAATTCGTGGAGGTATGCGCCAAACATTTCCGATAAAACGGTACCGAGAGTATCTGGATTGAAATATTCAGAAATTATGAGTTGACATTCGAGTACTCGACGCGCACAACTGAATAATTGACGAATTCATCGGCACCGACTGACCGAACCACGTACCTGGTGAACCCTTAGGCAATCGGCTGGGAATTTTTACCCTGAAAACGAACATTTCCACCCAATCACAATCCGCTGAACAATGAAATTCCCATTATTCCAGTCCTGTAAAATATCCATTACAACCTCCAGAAGTGAATACGAAGTCTGACCCAGAAACTGTCGAAAGCCGAAAGCAACTTATAAAATACTCAATACAACTCTATTCCTCTGAATTTATCGTTCTCTGATCGAGCCTCAGATCTCCAATCCCTCTCTTGACTCTAGAGTCTAGACCCTTTGCATCCGAGACATCCGGTTCTTCGTAAATAATTAACTTTATCTGGAGATTGTCCCATTGCCCTCAGGAATTCCCCCTCTGTAAATTGCTAGCACATAATGAGAAGTAAACAGATGAAAATTCACTGAAAAAGAGAATGATATGAAATGTTATTAATAATAACAAAGAAGAATAAAAAATTGGATAATTGAAAAATCTGGAAATATTCGGCAAAAAAAGAAGTCAATAACCGTGAGAATTTCATTGCCCATTTTTTCGCGTGTACTCTTTACTTTTCATTTTCCTCGCAACTTTTTTATCCGGTATTCACGGGAAAATGTTGTGGAAAAATAATAGCGGGGGTATTTAGACAAGGAATTTTCTTTGAACCGGAAAAAATGGATATAGCTGCAGAAGTCAATAGTTGCCAAACAAAGTCAATATGGAAACAATGGAAAAATCGGATTAGGTCTCAATTGGAAGGAATGCTAGAGCTCCTGGGACTCATTACCAACCCCTGGACATCTTGTATGGACTCCTCCAGGGCAGCCCTTTGTCGAGTTGAAGGGATTACGGGTTACTGTTTCTCGTAAACCTCCGAATCGCCAAGTTTGCTCTGGTGTAATACAACAGAGAGAACGTGATCCTGGAAGCTTCATGCGGTTCACCCATTTCCGAGGGCTGAGGATGAGAGAACTTTGAAAACTATACGTGACATTCCTCCATAGTAGAGACTCGTAAACCTCCGAGGATTGTCGAATCGACTTGCTCAATCTTTCACATTATTCTCAATCTTTATTCGTCTACCTCTACACGTCCTACCTCCGACGAGGTCTCTAACTTTATGGTAAACTAGATCGAATTATTTCGATCTAGTTGAGGATCGACCTGAAAAAAAAAATGAAATACAATCGAGTAATGTAAATTCACAATGAGTTCCCATATTTCTGCGGTTCTCCCGAATGAGAAAATTTTGTCGTTGATTCACGGTGCCTCCCAATTTACTCTGATTGTGTTTTTACTTCTTCATCACCCATTTCCTCAGGTGCTCAATGTGACGAATGGAAATGGAATGGCGACATTCGCTTTAACACGCTCGTTCAACATCCTTCAACATCTACCTCTCCCCCTGGCCACCCGCGTTGTCACGTATCTTCTGGATTATCAAATCAACGGGTACACCATCCTGAGGAAGATGAACGAAAACTCTCTCGTCAAGACCGGGGCACTCGACCAGAATTTTTACACGTTAAATGAAGATCTCGTCGACAGACGCTATGTGCATTCCACGCGGAATTGCCACGTTGAGGAATTCCAATTAAAGGATATCGTTTCTTCACCTGCTGACCTTTCTCCACCCTCGATTCAATTTTTATCGACAAATCCGGAGTCAATAGTCGAAAAATCGGTCAGAATGCCCTGGAAACAGATGATTTGCTTCGTTAATAAAGAAAAAAAATTCCGGGAAATTGCGAATTTTCATTTTAAATGATTCTATTAAAATTGTACTTATGATTATTTTTCTGTGTGGGTGAGTCAAGGGAATTTATGTTCAAAGGAAAAACCGACGTTTTAAAATTCTCAAGCTGATTTATCGGTTGCAATTTTCTCTGGCAGAAGTTCGGCTATCGGTGCAATTCATGAGATGTTGCGTTTTATTATCTTTCGATTCTATCAGATGCATCTTCTCGCGGGTAATGCACCCCCACAGGGGACACGCTACTGCAACAACAATTTCACTAATAGACACGTGCTCTACTATTCCTGTTGATGCATTTTATGGTGCACGTGACCGGAGAATTGATGGAAAACTCGAATGCCAATATCGATTTTGTGTTTGCAACTCGAGTAATTAAGTGAGGAGTACTTCAATCTATTGATTGGAATACTGCATGAATGTTGGGGCAGATATTATTGCTAAATATTTGCCTAATAATAATTATTATTATGAATTCGAAATTTTGGGAAAAGTATCGGGGGAGCATGAAAATCGAGAAGGTATTCACTGAAATTGGACTAATATCGATATAAATCCAATATTTTTTTTTCTTACCCAGATCATTATTTTATTAATATGCTATATTATATTATATTATATGTATATATAGCTCAGCTATGCACTGAAAAAATCCGACAAAAAACGTTATCTGCCTTTTTTTTACAAAGGACTTTTAAAAGGAATTCTTGTGGAGCTCTACTTCAATTTCTGAAGAAAGCGCTGGATTTGTCCATTAATTATTTCCTAGCCTATATGTCCACCACTGAATCTACCCCAGAAGTTTATCTTTAGTCTCGTTTTGGACTCACCTAGAGCGTGCAACCGCTTAAAATAAACTGTGCCGTAAATACCGAAATGAAATTGAACCGTTCGTGCATCAGACGCGAGCAGTAGCGCTACAATCACGCAGAGACATCACTACTCGCCCGCGTGGACATTTCCCAGCAGTAAAAAAATCATTTCAATAATGAATTAATAAAGCCTGAAAAAAGTAACGCGGAGTTGTCACCGAAAGTTTCTTCAAAAATCCAGAAACTTCTACCAAACAGAACCGCTACGAAAAATAACTACTGGTTGTTTTATTGCAGCATATAAATTTATTTTATTGGGCAAACGTAGAATTTCAATACATTCTTCTGCATATAAAGCTCAGAGATTTCCCTGACGAGTGGATATAAAAATGGAATACGGCGATAGACACTACAGAGAGTTGTGCTCCTCTGAGACTTTGCGCTCCGGTTCCAAAGGCTTCTTTCGAGACTTTGCAGAGGCAGTGGTGAATAAAGTGGGAAACACTTGGATATCTGAAGTGTTTGGTAAACTTTTAACTGACGATGAGCGCATGCGGGTGATATTTGGTGATTCGAGTGTCAAGGAGGCCGTTGTAGAGCCGCTGGATCGTGTCAGGCACATCTACAGGGATAAAGACGCGAAAATTTCGAGGGCCAGGCGGATCGAGGGCCTGAAATGTCTCAGGTCTGGAGATACCAATAAAGCTCTCGTACTTCTCAGTCAGGCTGTCCTTCGTGCACCGCTCACAGGTAAATCACTCTGCAACATCTTTTAAATCCGGAGTTTTACATCGGGGGAAAATTCCCCCTTTTTCAGGGATTCCCCCAATTTTCAGGGGTTCATCTTTGACGGGTTCATATTAATCCTCAGAGATCAGGGGTGAATGAATCCCTGGAAATAAAAAATTGTGGTAGATAAAATATGAAAAATTTTCGAGGATTCGCCTCAAATTTTTTTTTTCATTGTCGGGGTACGTAATGTACGCGTAATTATAATTGTAATTAACTACTTCTGCGGGATTTCTTTGTGCCTGTTAATTGTTCAGCTGATGTGTTGCAGGCCGGGTAAAGGCAATCGATGATGGGTACAGCTTAGCACTGGCTCTGATGACTCGAGCTGATGTGCTAATTGCTCTTGAAGAGGTTGCAACAGCTGTTGAGGATTTGACTGCAGCCGCCCACGAAGAGGTGCCCCATGATCTCAGGTAAAATTTCCAACAATAATAAAAAAATCCTCATCAAACAGTTCTTCCAATAATGTGAACTCCTGAAACCCATGAATTTCCGGCAGAATAAAATCCGCGAAACTTTCGCGAGAGTAATAAAATTTCTTTCTCTTTGTTGTCGTTAAAACAACGAATGAAACGAATAAACTCAGGAGCAGTTTTCCGTTAAATGTTGAATGGATCTGAATATTTAAATTCGCAAAGCCGTGCTGAGGCGGGGAGCTCAGAGCAATTGTCCCATTGTCGCATTCACCGAGGGAAATCTTTGACGAGCGATGTACTGTTGCAGAACCTATGAAAATTACAGTCCTGATATTCTTAGGATCTCATGTTACATAAATTCTATGAATTTCACGTCATGTACACGCTGAAGGGCATGTTTGCAAGTAGACTCTCGAGACTCTACTCCCCTTGGACGAGAGAATTCCTTTCAACATAAACGCATTGTCGGGATTCTATCAGATTCAATCTCCACATTCAATCGAGAATTGCTGCAATTATCTGAACCATTCACTGATGAACAATTGCAAAGTTTCCCGGTAAATAGTCGTCTTTCACAATATAATTAATCCACCAAATTCATCAAGAACTCAGCAACGATACCCAAAGAGCAGATGACTTTGAAGATCCCTGTGTACATCTCCAACATCTCCGACATCAAGAACATCATGACATCCAATTGCCAAAAATAAATTATTGTCTGAAGTGATAATTGATAATTAATCACTAATTTCCCCCAATCAAAATTTTGAGACTGCATTTGGCTCTGGATGGAGTTGGTCCATCAAAAAACAGAGATTTTAGTCTGTAATCATCAGTGCCAGGATTTCAAAATAAATCTCGGGATAAGGCACGTAGTGGAGATAATTGGAATTATATCTCTAGGGTTTTGCCTTTCTGTGGCTAATGTCCGAGGGTCTGAAAGGATTGGCGTTAGCCTGGGACATGTGTAAAACCAGCCGATTCTGCTCACGTTGTCACCGTGGTACCTCAAATTTACGAAGAACTGTAAATCCGGATGAGGAACATATTGCCCTGAGGATGTCACGTTCACCTCATTACTCTGCATGAAGTTTTTATTGTCTTTTTATAAAATTTTTCAACTTGATTCGAGTGTGGAGAGCACTTGCTTCTCAGGCCATATTGAATCCTAAAGTACCCAACAGTCTCCCAATCATTTTCAATCATTCCCAAGTATCGCAGTCTGATTACATTAGAGTGAATAGTTATTTAAACAATTGTTAATTTTCTGGGCATTATCGAGATGATTACGGGATGAAACCTCTGCTTTTTGAAGTACCGAATTCATTAGAGCGAAATGTCTGCCATTGTGCAATTTGAGACGGGGATGTCTTCTTGTTGTCATTTTCTCTAATCTCGAGGCACTAGTTTACGGTCATCATGAAAATATCGTAAAGTGAAATTCGTAGATTTTGGCTGGGTTGGAGTCTGACTACCGGGGGTTAACCCCCCATTTACTCTCTATTTTCAACATCCTCGGCGATGAAGATCTTTAGTACTGTCGCAGGAGCAAAAACAATTTGGCGTATGGAAGCGTAAACTAAGAAAAGATCCTCAGACGGTTCGTTTTATCCTCAGGACATCTCCTCGATATTTTCTCGACGTCGGCAGAGATCGGGTCGTCTTTCACTTTTGATTTTCATCTGGGTGTGCGACATCGCTCCGGTGTAATTCTGTTACACCGAGTTTCAGGGAAAAGCATTTTCCCGGACGCAGATTCGCAGGACTGATGGTGGTTTTCACTGCAGCATGGGGCTATATTGATCGCAACCCGGAGACGGATTAAAAATTTATGCCTTTATTTAGGATGATGCTGAAAGCACCGGGTACGAGGATTTTTTAGACTTTAGTGGTAATGGATGTTTCACTCGTATCTATATTCAATTTAATTCCACTCTTCTGCATATTTAAGTCCTACTCATTTTTTCATTCCTCAAATTAAATTCGGAAAATTCATTTTGGCCAATCGGTCTCTCGTATTATTTCTTAGAAATTATTGATCACCCATCCAGAGGTGGATTTGCCTCAACGGATATTTTTGCCAGTAAGAACTGAAGATTCTTGTGCTCCGAGATTAAATTTCCAAGACGATAATTTCCGGTAGATGAAAATACACTTGTGCTCGTTAGCGGTTCAATGCGGAAAATGAGGGTGGAGTGATGTAGTATGGAATTATATTCACTCTGGAAATTGAGAAAAGAATATTTCTCGTCGTTGGACGTTAACGAGGGATCGGAACAATTGAGCAATACCTTTATTTCCCAGACAACAATAATAAATAAAGAACAATTGGGCTAATTTTGTTGGAGCAATTGCCAAGTGCTGTCTTCGTCGAGAATATGAAACAGACGGCTGGTCCGGTGGTCATGTCCTGAATTATGAAGAGAACCCGTGGTATTCCACAGGTGACCAGAGAGAGAACATTAATCGTCACTTCAGAAATTAAATGGTATTGCTCGATTTTTTTTAATTTACGGGTTGCAGAAAAAGAAATTTTCATTTTCTAGGCTTACCCCTTGTCTCAATAATTTTTATTCAATTTTCCACGGATGAACCCATTAATTACAGGATTTTATTACAGAAAAAAAATGTTTTATTATAATATATTTATCGAAAATAATTATGCAATAATAATTCTTACTGTGAAATATTTTTTTTACGAAAAATACATCAAATTAAATGATATTATATTGAATGATTGTAGAATGCAGTAATTGGAAATTTGTGATATATATTTATCATGGTATTTTTTAAAGAGGAAAATAATTTGTTTTATATTATTTTTGTTATTTTTATTTTAGCGTCGAGATTGATTTGAAATTGAGGGAATGTCGAAAACGTCTTGAAGAGACCCGTGGGGCAGTGGAAATAGCAAGATCCACCAGGAGAAATCATTATTGCAAGCGTAAGAACTTTCTCGCAACTCAAATACAACAATTGTAATTACAAGACCTCAGGATCTCATTTCCTGGCCCAACACGTATGACGTGCTGAGTCATACGATAATTAATAGTACATCAACATTCCATTTATTTTCCAATTTCTCATTCATTCCCCAAATAAATTTCTTCTTGCAGCGAATTTAATAGAAATTCCCCTCCGTCCATGACCATTAAAAAATATTATTGAGTCATTAAATGAATAAATAATTTCTCGGATTTTTCAATGCAAGTATTAGAAATATTTTTTTGATGACGCGAGTTGAAGTGGCAGACATGCGTTTTTCGTGTTTAACTTCCATTGAATATCCCGTCAAATGCATTTCTACCACTAGTAAAACAACTTGACGATCGGGATTCAAAACAGAACCTGGATAATAGGTACGTCAATCTCTCTCATGAAAACCCTCAATAGTCAAATTTCCCCATTGAATCCGATTGAATTCCTGACGTTAACCGGTTGTCAGCCGAAAACATATGTAACTCGTCAATATCCAAAGTATTCCACTCTTACAATGCTACAATGTAACGAGAATAATCTATATATTCTAGAAAACGTGAATGAAGTCAATGATCGAATAAAATTTTATCTCATGTGACAAGAAATTCGTGCGGTAATCAACCCAGAAAATGAAATTGGATCAATGAAATTTTTCTCACCAAAAGTGGAAATTTCTCCCCCATATTTTTAATTTTTCCGGTAAAAATTCCGTAATAATGACAATATTACAAAATACCAGATAAAAAAATAGCGGAAATAAATTTTTCCGGAATTCCACACTTTCTCACTTTCATAAAATTGTGAGACTCGATAATTTTCATTTTCGAATACCAAAAAATCACACTTGTATTATCAATTAATTAATTTGAAGAATACAATCAACTTTTCAAAGGGTTTTCTAGAAATTCCGTGGAGTTTGAAGGGAATAGTGAAAAATTTTCAATGGCATTACAGGCGTGAAATTTTTTATCGCCTGTACATTGTGATTTTTCCAATGGAATTCTTTTTTTCAGCGATTCCACCGGCACTAACCGGGGGTCCACATTCGGTTTTTCCGGGGTTATCACGACTGGTGGATATCCGTGAATCACCGGATGTCGGAAAACATGCGGTGGCATCAGGTGATGTACGAGTTGGAGATACTCTTGCAACCGAGGTGCCATTAGCTTCCTGTCTTTTGCCGGATTATTACGGAACTCACTGTCACCACTGCTTCGTCAGGTGAATGTCTGACAATTTTTCACTTTCTTTCACAAAAATAATCTTACCCGTTCACAAATACATCAAATTTCCCCCAAACTCTCATCGAACGTAATAAATTATAATATTAATAATATCTGGTAATATTATTATAACGAGATTATTTTGACTGATAGCAGAAAAAATTCCGGATTTCTCATGCCTGCGGAAATTTTAATTAATCCCAATGTAATCCATGGCACAATCGCTGGTTGTCCCGTAATTAATATAAAACCAATTTAATTCAACTAAAAATGAAGTGTCAATGATGAATATTTCCTTGATTTATTCTGAATTTAAATATTTTGAAGACCATTGAATAATTACCAATTTTCATTCAATTATGATTTTCTCAAGAATAGAAATATCGACTTGATCGCCTCAATATTGGATAAACCAGTATAATTCACAACACTCCGGATGCCCTGAGTCTGTTTATCACCTCAGAGTTCCTTCCCATAAGTGGTTCTGCCCTCATCCTCATGCCTCCCAAGTTCACGAGTGTGCAATTTCCCGAAGCGAGTTGTGATCCTTGAGCGTGCAAGCTACATGATCCTGTTTACGGTTGCTACTCACTCCGTATTCTATTAAATCTTATCAGCAGCCTCGAAATTCTAAGATTCGGAGCACACAAACACTTGATATTAGATATTTCATAGCAGTTGTGAAAATTCTACAGAGGATTAACCCCAGGCGTTTGTAGTTCCTCGATCAAACGGTCTATTATCTCCTTTTGTTCATGAAAATTTCGCGGTTTTATTTTCAGGCTCCGGGCGCCCATGGGCTGTCCGCACTGCAGCACCGTTGCATTTTGTGGAAGGACCTGCAGGGACATCGCTCTGAACAGTTATCACAAGTACGAGTGCAAAGTTCTTGTTCTACTCATAGGTACCACCAATTTTTCCCTTTTCCCTTTAACGCCAAGAAATCACCAGAATTATAATTAAATCGAATCAAATTATTGTGATAATTAATTCATCAGCCGAGATTGACAAGTAGAATTTAATTTCCCCTGCAGATCCTTTAATCGGAGATATAATAATTTGATATTTCCAGGTTCTGGGATGAGTATCCTCAGTGCATTGGCCCTTCGTATGGTAACCCAGGTAGACCTTCAAACTTGTCGGAAACTTCACCACAAATGCAACGAGTTGTTGGAATTGAAAACCGAGGGGAAAGCTCCAAAATGTCAGAGCGAGGCCCCAATAAAGCTCGAGGGCAGTGCGAGTAAATCCGCTAAACGGCGCCAGAGAAAGAAAAAACTCCTGGAGAATTTGCAAATGAAGAGCCCAGAAGTAGATTTCCGGGCCTACGAACTCGTTACCCATGAGTCACTCAGATCGGCTATTGATTTCTTCGAGAGAGCACTCATGGCTGTATTTTTGCTCAAGTGTCTCACAACTGTTGACTACTTCGAAAGCAGCCGGAGAACCCTAGGTAATTCATCATTACCACCACTTCATTTATTTCCTCAATTTTCCCGGGTGGATCTGCGCTGCTTTCAGCCAATTACGTCAATTAAAATCAATTAAAATCTTAACGTAAATATTTTTTCAACGTTCTTGTTTTGAGTGTTATAAACGTTTATTTTAGACTCACCAACTGATGATGAAATAACAACAGGATCGCTTCTGCTGCGTAATCTCCAACTACTCCAGTTTAATGCTCATGAAATTTTTGAGACTCGCAGTAGTAATGAACATCGCTTTCGCAGCAACAAAACCGTCTACCTTGGAATAGCTATTTACCCGAGCGTGGCTCGTTTTAATCACGATTGTTATCCCGCTGTCACAAGGTAAATATGTAATATCAATAGAGGATACACCAATTAACAACATTAAATAGGGGTATGTCACTTGCCTGATAAGGAATTCAGCAATTACCCTGATAAATGGTACTTTCCACTACCTAGATACCAATCGTCTTATCAGGGAAAATTGAAAAAAATTTCCGTTCAATTTATTGATAATTCCTTTATTAATGGTATATTAATAGTATATTATGCTCTGCTCATTTTTAAGGGTGGTATTTAATTTGCGCTTTGATTTGGATTATTGAAGGTACTTTGCTGGTCGGGACATTGTGATAAGAGCGACTCGACCTTTGAAACCTGGAGAAGTTGTTGCTGAGAATTACGGGCCAATTTTTACCAAGAGAAACCTCAAAGAACGCCAAAGGGTTCTCAATGGGCGGTACTGGTTCAAGTGTACTTGCAGAGCTTGCACTCAGGATTGGCCGGACTTTGATGGACTCATTGATTACTCTCCACGATTCAGGTGGGATCATTTCATTTACTGTGATAAAAGCGAAATTTTTCTACCCGCAGCATTTTTTTTTATGTAAAAAAATACATCAACCTGAGGAAAAGAATAATATATTTTTTTTTCTACTGCATATATTTTATGCAGAGATTAAATACAATTGTTCTAGGTTCAATACTGAATGTAGAGATGAATGAATAATTTTCTTCTGGGTTTTATGTCTCATTATCATTCCTCGGGCGTTTATCCTGTCAGCGGGCTCGGGAAAGGGTTGAAATCGAATCGTTCGTTAAGTCGAGTTCAAAGAGACGACGGAGCTATGAAATATTTCAATATGAAAATGTGTCAATACATATTAAGCTTCTATCTCCCTTCTCTCGAATGAAATCTATTGAATCCGTTCAATTTTGTCGGACGAATAATGAAACCGTATAGGACACATTTCTGCAGGGCACGTTTCAAACTTTAGAAGGACATTCTATGAAGATAATGAACAGCAATTATTGACAGTATACTTTCCTTCACTTCTGGGTTGATTATTAGATCTAAAAACTTGTGACATTTCAACGAAATGGGAAAAGGGAAAAGCCCACGCTCCGGTCAGACCCGGGGATCACGAAAGTTCATCATAAGGAATCAAATTTTATTCAGCGATAAGAAAAGTTTTCTCGTATCTGGTTTTCATCTCAATGCGGGGAGGAACACTTTTTCCATTGAAAGAAAAGAGAGAAATTACTGAGGGCTTTCTTTATAAAAAATCTTGGGGAGTACAAGTTCCACAGTTGAAATGATTTAATCAACATAAAATCCCCTGACTGACGAGTTATCTTTCTCCTTATTTATTTTTTCAATTATCATTCGACATTAACTAGTCGCTAGTCGTTATTATTAATTTATAATAATTGTATGGTGAAACAAGTCCTTGGATTAAAGATTATTTTTCAATTCCAAAATCAAACCAGCGAAGAAAATCTGGAATAGCATCTTCTTTTCAATTTTATTTTGCACTAGTATCAAAAAACTTGACCTCTTCTCTTGCAGATGCACCACTGAAGGCTGCAGAGGATCACTCCCACGATCTAAATTAGGGAATACCATCGCCAAGTGTACGACATGTCAACGGAAAATAAATCTGAAGGAACGCATTGCGGGACTGGAGGAGTGCGAGGAAAAATACAGGAGTTGCTTCATTAGTATGGAGGAGGAAAAGTCCGATGCGGCTTTACGTCAAGTAACGAATGCACTTCAACAATTTCATGTGGATATCATGGCACCTCACAGGGATACGCATTTGGCAGAGATAGCATTGGCTACTTGCATGGCAGAAAATGGAAATGTTTGGATATTTTGCAACGAGTGACAGAAATTTCCCTTTCGACGGGAAATTCAACATCTTTTTAAAATTAAAATTCCCTTCTTCTATTAAGAAAAAAACAAAAGTTGTAAAGGATTAATGGGAAAAGGAAAGAAAACGTTCATCCTGACTTTTCCGTGCAAGTTTTCAGTTTATTAATCCCTCGATCATGGGTTTGAATTTTTTAATTTATTATCAGTTTAAATACAATTTTTTTACGAGTTTCGACGGGATCTTCAAAGTTCCTGGCAACGGTTGCTGTCGGCTATTTAAAGGGAATTAACGCATTCGTATGGATATTTCATATTCGTGGGGGAAGGGATTCCAGTGAAACTGAAGGTTTTCATGATCAAACGGGATTTTTTCTGGAATTAGTTATAGCCGGGGGATATATCTTTCAAGTGTCAAGAACGCTTTGAGTTTATCTTCATTTTTTTTTATAGAAAAAATTATGGAGCGCAATTTAATCAATTATTTTCATTAATAGAATTCCATCGACGGCATTTCCAAACAATATCGATAATAATTCGATGACTTTCTATTTAATCCAACAAAAATGGCAACGACAACAACGAGAGTCATTAATTAATTCCATAAATTCATTATCACTGAGAGAACTCGATTTTTTTTTGTTGTAATTTCTTACATTCTCAATATGAATGTCAATAGACGATTTAATTATTAAATTGTGTTGACAGAATTTCCGCAATGAGGGATAAAAAAAAAATTGGAGGAACATATTTTTTTTAATTATTTAAAAACCATCGGTGCGAATTTCGAAATATTATCTTCGAATAATTCGATTTTTAATTCAATGAAAGGAAAAATAAAATTGGTCGGCTATTTAATTTCAAATTTTCTCAATTAAATGGTAGCGTGCGAAACTCATTCACTAGGAGAAAATAAAAAAACCCATGCCGCGGAATGAATGTCACGCCATCAAAGCAAAATATCCCGCGAATTTCCCGTGAATAAAATATTCATGAACATTTCTGAGTGACGGATCCCAAGAAAATTGCAGCGCTATTCGCACTCATATGAATTGTTGAGTGGATGTGCCAATGTTTCCACTGAAGATGTAATCCCCATAAATTTTTCCACATCTCGAGCATTAACCGTGCCATTATGATAATTAGTTCTGCTCATTGTTTCGTCAATAATGAGAACGCACCCTGTGAGGCTGATACCAGAATGAATTAATGAAAAATGTCGGATTGGGATGAATAAATAAAGAAACAATTCACAACAGTTTCATGACTTTTACGATTTTTTTGTTGAATTTATTTTTTATAATGCACATGTTTCGTGAAAAAATTAAATTCCATTTATGAAAATTATCATTTAGCGCTTTCGGTACAAAATTCACTGGGCAGTCGACGTGATTTCATCAATCCACAAAACAATTACTGCCACGTTCAACGCATTTTAATTATTATTATTTTTTTTTTGTTTATCCATGGGGTGGAGGTACCCAGCCCCAGAAAAATTGATTTCCACCAAAAGGAAGAATTCGGCGAATGCCAAATGAATTCCATCAATTCCCCTCCTTCTTCCTCCTGCATGTACACCATGCGATAATCAATTCAGATCTAATTGACTGTTAGCTAAATTTCGTCAACATTTTTTTTTTCAACACGGTTTATCCCATTTCTTGACCAACGAACTTCTAAATGGAATTTAGGGAGGACTGATCGTGTGTTCTTCATCCAAGCTATTGAATTTTTTTTCAAAACCTTAATTCATCGTTTTTGTTATCTTCACATTTTCTCTCCCATGAATTTGATGCAAAAAGAATTTTGAAAAAAATCATCATTCCATTGATGAAAAAAGAGAGGCAGGAGCGATTCACCCTCTCCTGAGACTCACTCGAACATTAGAACTCAATAAGTGGTACGAAAAAAAGAAAGCAGCAAGTGTCTCTGACTTGAACCCCTTGGGTTTTAAAATTCAATCCTACCTCCAGCCTCTCTTTTATCACAAAAAAGGAAAAACTTGTTTAACGCCACACGCTGGACATGGAGATACTGGCTGATAAATCGATGGGTCGCTAGTTCAGATACGTATTAACCGACATTATTTCCTCATAGCATTAGATTTCAGTCAACACATGCATTGTACTTTTTTTTTTCGCAGTCAGTATTACAACTCCCTTCCTCATTAAATGTATCCCCCTTAAACATTCTCATGCAAGCCTGATTACTTTTTTTATTCATAATGTTTACTTCGTAATTATTAATGGTTCTCATCTACGGTGCATCGTGTTGGACCACGCGGTTACGGTAATCATCGAATTGATTGGATTTATCTCCCTGTTTGAGCAATTTATCATGGTAATACCCTTCATCGACGGCTCATCAGGAGAATATTACAGTAATGTAGAAAATTTTCATCAAAAAATTATCAATCACTGATGTAACGTAATCGCGAGTCTCAACTAAATGTTCAATCATTCTCGCACGTTGTGGCTATTCTGGGTATTATGCATCCACTCGTAATCCTCCTTCATCAAAGTTTAATGTTCACATAGTTTCAAATAAAAAGGGATGACCACAAGACAAAAAGTTATCAAAATCCTCTGATTGTAGAAAAATTAAGAGACGTCAAGACGTCTGTAGATAAAAAAAGCAGGAAAATAGAATGCAATTATCTGCAAAATGTAGATCTCTCTAGAATGAATTTTGAAGAGTTACCGAATAAATAATCACCAGTTGTTATCGAAAAAGCTTTCAGATTCCATTTATTTCGTGACGTTTCTACAAACTAAAATTTAAAAAAAAAACGTACTCCATGCAAAAATGTATAAATTCTCTCATTCTCCTTTTTTATGTTCAATTTTCAATACATGTTACTCTCTTGACAGATCGTGATTGAATAGTCAATCAAGTCTACAGGTAAACAATGATACCCAGTGGTATTTAAATGGTAAATTAATGAAAGCTCGAACATTGGCTGCTCCCAAGTAGAAACTGCATACAGAGGATTGGTTTTAGCTGGCCACGGGGTATCATCGGATATTCTGATTGTCCAACGGGTAAACAACGTTTATGCCAATCAATAATTTCGTCAAGTGCGGGACCCACCAGGGGTCGTCACTGCGTTGATTAATCAACGATTTATTAAAAAAAAAAAAAATACAATTGAGTCGCGCATATATATTTTTACCGCTACAATGATTTTTCCGCACAAAACGTAATTTATTTAATTTTTATTGTATTGTGATAAGAGAATTTTTCATCGGTTTTTCATCTCAATATTTTTTTTTTCAATTTGTATCCCATTTGTCGGTTATAAACGGAGAATAAAAAACCTAATCATTCAACACAACAGAACGCTAATTGTAGAGGAGAAAAATAAACGATAACGAATGGAAAAACCATTATTCCTTCTTTGATTATCTGGGATTTCTTTCGATGCTCTGCTAATTTTGTTTTTTATTTCGACTGATTTGAGGTCATTAAACTTCTCCGGATGCCGTAAGTCATTTCGCACCCTATTTCTACGTATTTCTTGATTTCACAGATAATGATTATGCAATTAGACATTACCATTGTGTTACGCCACGCGATTATCACCTCAGGTGTTTGCTTTCTTGCTCTTTACATACCTTGCAACCCTTTAACTTGCTTTTTTTTTTGGGGGGGGGGGGGGGGGGGTGTGCTTCTGCTGGTATGTCAAGTTTTCTTTATGGTTTAATTTTTTGTAAATTTTTTCTCTTCGTTATATAGGTTGGTAGTTAATGTTGCTGCTGCTTATGATTCGTGATGTTGAGATGCCGCTGCTTATTCAGTGTATAACTGGTGTTGGTGTTATATTGTTTATTGGTTGTATATATTTTTTTTTTTCATTTTTTTTCTGTTGAGGAGTGTTGGTACGTGGTGGTAGCGGTTATTGTTGTTAAGCAATGCTCTCCGGGGTGATGTTGATGACGAGCTGGCTCTCCTGTAAAATCATGAGAAACATGGAATTTTAATTGGTTGAAGTATCGATTACTCCGGGGTATTTCAATATTTTTGTCAGCGGTTAATTGTTAACATTGGGGGAACAGAGGGATTTTTAATTATTGTTTCAATTAATGGCATTGTTATATGAATTTCCGATGTTCGGAATTTGATCCATATTGAATCGAGTGGGAAATCTCGAGAGGAAAAATTCATTAGTCACTTGAAAAATGATAAATTGCTATCGAGGAAATTGCAGTCCTTACGAGTGAAACTTTTTCATTTAAATTATTTCCATTAAGCAAAATTCAAAGCTACCAACGTGAAAGAAATTAAATTAAGGGCTTCAACGAGAGAATGGAAAATTCAAGTCAGTGAAGGTGTGGATAAATAAGAGTGGAATATGACGTATACACGTCCCCATGGGTCGTTCTCTGGTTGTCCCCTCGAAATAGCAAACCAAGCTTTTTAGATGATTTAATCCACTCGACACTGAACTACTCCCAGTCTCAGTAATTACTACATTAATGAGGAAAGAGTAGCAATCAACCAACTCATCATGCGGATTATTCTCTACTTTTTAATGAAAGGCAAGTGGTAAATTTCTTCAGGTTAAAGAGAAAAAGAATGAAGTGCTTGAAAAAAAAAGTAAAAAAACCGAAGAGAGGAGAAAAAGAACGAAAGAAAATAAATTTACCTGAGGAGCAGGGGCAGCGGCTGGTGCATCCTGATCTTTACGTGCATCCTGGCCCTGTTTCCCGCCTGACTTCTGCTCCTGCTACAAATAGTACAAAGAAAACGTGCAAAAAGTGTCGTCTAAATTCTACACTGATTTATGTTTGAAAATGAAATGAGGATTAAAATAAAATCGAGGGAAAATGAAGATAGTTGTATTCAGCTACTGATTTGCACATACAAGGGAGAGGGACAATTGGTGGAATTTTTGTGAACTGTGATCTCAGTTATTTACCTATTAATTGATTTATCGAAGCTAATTCGTGAAATAAATCACTTAAATATCAAACCTCCCGACATTCAAGCTCAATTCATAATTATTATTAAGAAAAAATTTAATCAAAAAAATTTGGTGCCTTGAATGAATTTAATTTGAAGTGCAATAAAAATTTGAATGTTCTCCAAGGCAACTTCAAACTCATTCTGTCCCCTCAACAAATGCATATTCGCAATGAAATAATATTTCAGAATCTTGCGTCAAATAAAAAACCTCATGATGGCCTCCCCTGAATTTACAAATAAAATCCTCAAAACTTGCATCAATGAAAAGAGCAATAAAACCTCATAAACCTTTAAACGAACACAGTCACCATCGTCAGAAGTTTTTTTTCCAGGACGTGACGTTTGGGATTGAAAATTGGGATAAGGCTGAATATTCTCTTTGTCAACGTATCGTGCATCAAGGGGATTGGATTGGATGGATTTTAGTCGTGTACGTTGCACCAGGTGGCATCCTTCGCCAGCCCCGTCCTCACGATCACTCACCTGGTGAATTACGTATCGAGGACGTGATAATATTTATGACAAAGTGGAGAGGCAAGACACTGATGACAAGATTTATTTCTTATCAGGATTATCAATGATTCATTATTGATTAACCAACCTGATTGAAGCCTTCTCTGTGTAGTCTCATAGCGCCTGACCCCCTTCCCCTGCGAAAATTATTACCACGGAAGAAACGACGTCCACGTGAACCCCCACGTCCACCTCGTCCACCACGTGCTGGTGCACCTCCCTGTCCACCTTCACCCCCCTGTTCACCCTTTTCGTATCGATTATCACCGGCATCACCACCGTTTTCACCTTGATTTTGGGGTGGCCCAGATCTTCGTCCACGGTAGTAACCACCCTCGAAATTCTGTCTTCGTGGCCGATAACGTCTCTGGCCACCCCCTTCGTTCTGCTGGGCTTCATCAGGACCTTGTTTAGCCTCACCTGAGGACGTTTGATCGTCTGATCATGAAATTATGAATTTAGATAGTGTTTTCACTCATTTATATTTATATTCATTATAAATTATTCATAGAAAAGCCATAAATTATTGGTAATTTTCAATTATAATAATTAATTAGGTACTGACCATCGTGTTGACCTTCTCGTGGGCCTCGGCGTTGGGGTCTTGAGGCCCCACGCTGTCGGTAGTACCATGCTCTGTAACCACGACGCTTGTCAGCAGCATATGGTGAACCCTTGACAGGTTCACCATCTGGTCCAGTGACATTTGCTGCTTCGTGGCCCTTCTCACCGATCACCACGTCAAACTCCACTACTTCACCATCACCCACGCTCCTTACAGCCTTCTTTGGGTTGTTCTTCACGATGGCTGACTGTTTAACGATGATGAATCATGAGAATTCAATAAAAACAAGTTCTTATAATAATTTTATTATTATAAAATTATAGCACTCACTTGATGGACGAATACGTCTTCCTTGATGTCATTCCTGGAACATAAATAGAAGGAAAACTTGTTTATAAATAATTATCTCAAAGTCATACACTCCAGCCATCTCCAAATTCGGAAAGAACATACGAAACTAATTTTAAATCATAAGAGACTTGCGGGTTTCTGCTGGAACCTCAAACGAAAAATAAACACAAATCCCACAGAACTCTTGCCTTTCCTACGAATATTCATCTCTCTGAAGTTAAAATAAATTCAATGAGGATTTCAAAAATATTATAGAGTGGAGTAGTCGGAAAAGGGTATTTTTTTTTTGCTTGTAAAGGTTGTAGTCTGGAATCCCTGGAAGAAATAGTATTAAATAGGCGTCTCCCTTCATGTCAACAGCGAATTGCGACCCTCTCAATATAACTGTGTTCCCGTGTACATATATATATATATATATCTGTATCCTATGAAGCTGTGGAGCAAAGCACGGAGTTGGAAGGTCATTGAACTGACGCTACATCCTACGTTACACAGAAAATAATGGTGCTAGTTCCACAGCTGCTAGGATTCAGTGGTACTGATGTCGACATGCGCTCATCCCACCTCAACCCCAATCCCTCCCCTCACAGCCCTTCATCAACTCGCTCCACGTCAGGACTGCACCTCAATATCTTCCGGTTATTTTTTTTAATTTTCGAAAATGTGTAGATTTTTTTTCAAAATTGATGGTATAAATCACGAGATTTTTGGTGTAATTAAATTTGGCAATTTCAGTTTTTCGGAGGGAATTGCGTTAAATGGATTGTGCTAGGTTTAATCAATGTCCCTAATTACCGGGCATTTAACTTGGCCAGGGCTTCGTCCATTGCGTGCTTCAGTTTTTTAAGCAGTGGGGCTTCAGACTTATTGCGGTTGAGTATTGAATGAAGAGCTATAATTATTTTTCAAATGAGTTTTCACGCCAGGGGAGGAGAGATGACTGTTGGGGCAGGGGATAAACTGAAAATTCAGGGGATAAAGTTGGTTTTGTTCGGCGGAGTGATTCACAATTGATATTTTCATTGTGCGGACGGAGGTTCAAGTGCATTCTGAATCCATCGGCTCTGCATTATGGGAGGAAAGTTTGACTGACGATGAGAGGAGTTCTAGAGCTTTTTTTTTGCTGTTAGGGCTCTTTAAAAAATATTTTTTCTGGAATGTTCGCCGGGTGATTATCGAGTGTTGAAGTTATGGAACGCAGTGGGCATCACAAATTACGGGTCGAATCGGTGGGAATGTTATTGGAAATTTGCCAGGTGAATGGAGACCCACAAATAACATTTAAATTGCAAGACTGCAGTTTTCAAGTGTAGAAATATGAATTGTTCATCTGTTCGTTTAATGCTCGATGTTATCTGAGTGACACCCAATACGAGGATAATAACAGTAATTGTAGGGCACGTAGATATGGAAAAAAAAATCAATAAAAAGGAATCAATGAGACTGACCTGTTGATGAACCCATAGCCGCTCTTTACGTTGAACCACTTCACAGTCCCGGTCACTTTGGTAGCTGGAAGGATAAAGAATTTGAGAAATTACAGGCGACATTTCCCTAATTGAATAATAAAAATAAAACGTGGAAATAAACGAGACCGTCAAGAAGTTCTTTGGTATTGAAAGAATATTTCGTAACGAAAGGGCGATGGTTACGTGAAATGCCTTTTTTTTATTTTCTTTTCCGAATGTAGGACACTGATAAAGGAGTGCTGGCGAGTTTTATGTGGTCGGAGATAACCCAAAAATATTATCTCCTATGAATAATAAATAGTAAATAATGCAATAAATAATATATGAGTGATTGATTATCGAAGTGAGGAAATTTTACAATTTGCAGAATTGAAATTCGACGAATTAAGGAAATCAATCGCTCCATTGTCAATGATAAATCCTACGAACTCCCTTAATTCTCTATTTGATTCTCTCAAATCATAATAATCGAACTGTTTACTATCGACTCGCAAAATCCAGATTCCACAGAGTTAGATATGTTATTGAAGGATTATTGGCTTCAGGTCAGATTAATCCCCCAAATACAATCGGATTAGTTGCCTCTAAAATTAATAAATGAGCAAACAGAGATTAATCCAGTTATATCCACCGATCGTCCTGTAACACTTGAAATACCTGTTCCACCGATCACCAAAGATTTTTCAATGTGCAGTAAAAAATTTCACCAACAAACAAATGAAGAAAACATTTGACGCCGACAAAATTGATTGAAATAAAAAAAAAACAGCTTCACATGAAATGATAAATTAAACTTCGTCTGCTCGATGCCTCCAAAACCCCAGACTCTAATCGTTATGAATAAATAAATACTTTGAGGTTAGAAATGTGGCTGCAAAAATCGCATGGTTTTCGCCTCTCCAGAGAACAATAGATTGCCTCCCCGGCATTTTACTTTCGGAGTCGCTTGTTACCCATGAAAATTTTGAAGCAGAGACGCATTCTCTCCAGAAAAAAAATCACTGACACAGATCTCCCAATCCCTAAAAAACAAAAAAGTCTAAAAAAAAAAACCCCCCGGAAGGCCCAAATATTTCCCTTAATATCACCTTAAGCCATCAACTGGATAAAAATAAATGGGGAAAAATGTATAGACCTAAAATTTGCGATAGGTTGCACCGATTGGCTTCCAAATTAGTCGCGTCTCTGCGTCACAACGTGGGGGCAAAAAAAAAAGTTGCAAAATTATAGGAATGAACCTCCGGAGAGAATTCTCAGGGTGTACATAAAATTTGTCGAAATGCTAGATGATTTTTCCGCCGAAGGTAGTTGTGAATCGATGAAATAATGGTGGATTATCCCGGCACACCGGCCACATGGTGCGAGCGTAAATTGGGCGCCATTACGAGTGAAAATTGATGTGCGAAATTGGAACAGAGGATGGAGTTCAGGGGGGATGGTCTGTTGGGGGTGGTCGATGATATTAATTAGTAGATTACTCACCGATGACCAATTTAGCTTGCTGGTTAGCCTTAGGTTGATCGGGCTGTTTTTCCGGGTCAGCCATGGTGGTGGTGTTAGGTGTTAGACACGCCGCTGCCGTACCTAGATGTTCCCGTCCTTCTGGTTGTACTGTTGGTTACCTTCTAATGTTCCCAACATGGCTGCGGCAACCAGGCGACCGTACCAAACACTCCACTTTTGGTACGACAAATTCTATTGGTGAATGCCACTCTTGCTTCAGGTGCATTCGCCAATCGGCGATCCGGATTTATTTTATTGTTGGCTATAGAACCTATAGGCGCTGCAGGCTCTACAGGCTAAACGTTTCTGCCCACCGGGGGCTGCAGCGCCATTCGTTTGTCTTTTTTCCTTTTTTTGCATGAGTGCCGCCAATTTTGAGAAATCCTTTAAAAATCATTTTTACAAATTCATTACCTAAAAGATTATTTTTCTTCAAATAAATATTTTGATTAGTTTAAGGAGTTTAATCAGTTTTTTGGAGGTCTTTCATTAGGCCGGAAATAGGGCTTTTAATATTTTGGCGGAATATTTTTTAAATCAATGGTTTTTTTTTTTAGAGAAATTGAGATTTGGGAAGATGATGAAAGATGAAAGAAAATTATTTGAGTGAAATACGATTGAATTCATTAAGTCCAGGAGATTGATTGCTTTATCAGAATATTTTTATTACTGAGCTTCATTACAACCAATAAAAACTGACCACTATACATTTCTCTAGATAATTCGATTCAATCCCCTATTTTTTTATAACTGAAATCGAATGAATGATCTTAGGTTCATGGTAAATCCCTCAGAAAATGAGAATTCGTAGTTTATTATTTCGGTATTTCTAATATAACTAAATTCTGTACAAGTTTTGAGATACATTTTTTATTCTTCCACCACTGGATGTGGGGCCCTTTATTCGTTATTCAACTTCAGTGTCTGTTGAAGGAATCCAGACAAAAAAAGAAGACAACCATCAACCAAAAATTCATGATTAATGATTATTACCTTAATAATGATTAATGGAGACGTCTTACCGCTACCGACATTGCTCCAATACCTTGAATTCTCTTTACGTACAAAACGTTCCCTATTTTATTCAATATAAAGCCTCGAAATTCAACTACCCCTGCCAAAAAAACTCAATGTTCACGCTAGCCAAGTGTCATTGGAATTTTTATATTTATTACGAGTTAAACAGTCCATTCTAAAGTAGTTGTGACTCGAATAATGCACGTGGAATAATATAAAATTGCTTGAGCAACAGTCATGTACATGAATTAATTAAAAATTTTCACCTAAATCGAGACTATTCGATACAATTAATTACGAATCATCTCAAAACGTCATCGAGTCGAGTCACAATCAACTTTTCATAATTTTATCATTATTTTGAAACGAAGAAAAAACAGAGTAACAAGTACTCCAGTGAGTTCGACCATTTCCCATTTTTCTCACCACTTGAAGTACTCAATTATTATAAATCCTATTCCTATTTCAGTAGCGAAGTAGTAAAAAGAGATAAATCCACTGAGCACTTTGATTTTTTGTTAATATCTTCAAACCTGCAGAAGATAGTGTAAATTCGATGAGAACCTTTTTCTTCGCCCTCAACAGGCTACACAAAAAAAGGTGATGGCATGAATTCCTCTATCTCCCCTGGGTTCGAAAATATTTTCAAAAAAAAAAATCCGATGGAAGAGCTTATCTTCTTCGACAACTTCACTATTGATTTCTTAAACAGTGAAATGCAGATGTTAATTGATTTAATTTTACATTCTCCATCATCTGTGTCGTCTGCCCTGACGTGTGGCCCTTGATCGAGGAGCGACTGACCCCGACCCGATGCTGAACATGTTTCCACCTGAGCTAAAGCCTGGAGCTGGAGAAAACGATGGAACACTTAGAGAAGTAGGTGTTGCTGATCCACTGAAATTGAATGCTCCAGTCTGGGGAGCAGTATTTCCATTAAACTGGAATCCAGTACTATTACTGCTGGCTCCAAACGAGAAAATACCACTCTGTGTCGCCTGAGTGGTGGCAGGAGTTCCAGCACTGGCTCCAAAGGAAAATCCTCCAGTAGATCCAGTACTAGGCCCCGTTCCTCCAAAACCTGAATTGGCCCCTCCAAATGGTGAGACAGCTGCAGTACTGGAAGTTGTGGGTGCTCCGAACCCAGTGAAACTGCTGTTGGCATTTCCAAATGCTGGAGGAGCTGTCGTGGAGGTTCCAAATCCAGAAGTCGACGTGCCGAATCCAGTAGAAGTCGTGCCAGTGGGAAAAGCTGGTGGTGCAGTTGTTGCAGCTCCAAATGCTGGAGTTCCCGTGAAACTGGAGGTGGTGCTCTGTCCACCAAAGCCTGAGGCACCGAAAGCTGGAGCGGCTGTAGTGGCTCCAAATCCTGAAGACGCTTGCCCAAAGGCTGTCGTTGTTGGATTATTAACTACAAATCCAGTGGTCGTTGTGGGCTGTCCACTGAATAATGAGGAGCTCCCAAAACTTGTAGTGGTTGATCCGGCAAATCCAGGGGCGGTTGTTGTGGTGGCATTGAATGCTGGTGGTGGTTTTGATTGACCAAAGCCACTGAACATGGAGCTGGATGTTGACGGTGTGGTACTGGTTCCATTGAATAAACTGGTGGCCGTGCTCGCTATAGTTTTGGGGGCTCCGAAGCTGAGAGCTGTTGTAGTTGATGTTGAGGAGAAAGCCGATGGTTGGGTACCGAATAGAGAGGCTGAGGTGGATTGACCGAAGGTGGAAGTCGTTGTTGAAGGGGCTCCAAAGGCTGGAGTTGTGGTTGAAGGGGTTCCAAAGGCTGGAGTTGTGGTTGAAGGAGTTCCAAAAGCTGGAGTTGTGGTTGAAGGGGCTCCGAAGGCTGGAGTTGTGTTTGAAGGGGTTCCAAAAGCTGGGGTTGTGGTTGAAGGGGCTCCAAAGGCTGGAGTTGTGTTCGAAGGGGTTCCAAAAGCTGGAGTTGTGGTTGAAGGCGCTCCAAACGCTGGAGTTGTGGTTGAAGGGGTTCCAAAAGCTGGAGTTGTGGTTGAAGGGGCTCCAAAGGTTTGAGTTGTGTTTGAAGGGGTTCCAAAAGCTGGAGTTGTGGTTGAAAGTGCACTGAAGGTTGGAGTCGTTGCTGAAACTGCCGTTGAAGGAGTTCCAAAGGCAGTTATTGTTGTTGGGGCTCCGAAGGCAGGCGTCGTTGTTGAAGAGGTTCCAAAAGCAGGAGCTGCTGTTGAAAGGGTTCCAAAAGCAGACGGTACTGTTGAAGGTGTTCCAAAAGCAGGAGCTGCTGCTGAAGGTGTTCCAAACGATGGAGTTGTTGTTGGCGTAGTGCCAAAAGTTGAAATTGATGTTGAAGGAGTTCCGAAGGCTGGAGCTGTTGTTGAAGGCGCTCCAAAGGCAGGAGCTGTTGTTGAAGGCGCTCCAAAGGTAGGAGTTGTTGTAGAAGGAACTCCAAAGGCAGAAGCAGTTGTTGAAAGAGATCCAAATGTAGAAGCTGTTGTTGAAGGGGTTCCAAACGTTGGGACTGAGGCAGACGTACCAATTCCAAATGTCAACGATGTTGTTGCAGGGGGCTGAGACGGTGTCGATGTACCTGAAGGAATAACAGGTGCTACAGTTGATCCAAACGAAAACCCAGAGGATGGAGTCGATGGAGTCGTATTGTTAGCTCCGAAAGTGAAAGTAGATTGTGTGGATGCAGCAACTGACGTAACAGCTGCCGTTGTTCCAAATGCGGAAGCACCGGCGCCAGAGTTAGAACCGAAACTAAATTCTGATGACGGTGCACTGGTGGTTGGAAGTTGATGGCTTCCCCCTGTTGAGCTGGTGGATGTTGCACCGAAAGTGAATCCTGCAACCTTCGGAGGGGATTTTGCTGTCGTGAACGTCAAAAGAGAATTTCCGGATGTTGCTGACCCCGAGGAAGATCCTGTCGAGGATGTAGTTATTGTCGAGGTGCTGCACAACGCCGTAACCTTGGAAACTCCAAGAGGACCTCCAGCAGCTCCAGCTGCTACAGTACTCGCTGGCTGGAGGACCTTTTCATTCGATTGCGAAATCGGCGAGACTGTCTGGGCTCCTGGGGTCGATGCCCCAAGTGAGAACGTCAGACCCTGAATACTCGATGTCGTAGATGCTGCAGTTGCGGCTGAAGCAGATGTTGGTTGAGCGGGCACAGGAAGGAGTCTGCTGTCTTGACCCTGAGATTTTTCAGCACTCGAGGGAGAACTGATTACACTCGCACCGAAGGAGAAACCTGTGCCCTCAGATTTTTGAATCTCCTCATTTTTCTCAGGCTTTTCCACCTGGGGCACAGGCAAATTAAATGTCACGTGTTTCCCAGGGGTTCCCATAGTTTTCATTTTCCCAATTATAGGAACAATAGCTGATGTTGAGATTGGAGATGTGTTAACGTTGGTTGTGGATGTGGAAGAGCTTAGAGTGGCCCTGGAGGGAGACGTCGGTGTTATTGGCTCAGCCTGAATAACAACACTTGGATCTATCGTGCTCGCTGTCTTGCCCGATATCGCATCGAACATGCTCTTAAGTTTTGCCTTCACGCTGGTCTGCCTCATGTTGATTATATCTGATTTTTTAATCTCCTCGGTATCGTGTTTCGTGAATTTCGGTGAGGAGCTGTGCTCCTCAATGAGACTTTTCAGTTTTTCAATATTCTGAGGCTCCTCCCTCATGAACAGGCGGTCAGTCAACTTCACTTTCGCTGGAACATCTATCATAGAGTTCTTAGCCTCCTTGAAGATCTCCTCGATCTTGTGTGTCTCTGGGCTCTGCTTAGAGGATTGTCTCCCTGGGGACCTCGGAGAGATACCTGTTAATGAATTTCTTGGGCTGGAAACGTTCGCCATCGAGGAAGTGCTTTCATTAATCAATTTATCGACGCTCTGGGTGTCTGTAACGCCTCTCGAAGATTCTGACACAACTTGACTAGTCTCCAGGGACTTGAAGTGCTTCCCAAGATCTGGGGTTCCACTTCGAGAGATGTCGGCTTTTCTCTTAACCCCTGAGTTGACGTTCGTACTGGAACTCAGGGAATTCAGGATATCGTAGCAAGAGGGCTTCTTCGTCCTTTTCACTGGTCTCAGAGACGCGTTGTCGATGGAAATGTCCTCGTCTGATCGAGATGACTCGTCCCTCGCTCGTTTCTGCGTCATCTCCTCGAGATTCTCCAGTTCATCACCGTAGAGACCGTCTGTTCGTTGCTTCTTTATGAGATCAGCTCCCACGTCCTCTGTGGAGGCGTGCCTCTTAAGGGACATATCTCGCAACACTTGGGCCACTGTACGTGGAGGTCGTGGTGCCTCTTGACAGATATCAGATATCACTCTTTGCCTGTCTGGTGGTGAGTACCTGGTGTCTGGCGGTGCAATCCTCACTGTCACTGGAAGTCGCATCTTTCCTGTCCTCGAGTTTATCAAGGGTGTTGGACTTGAGTTGAGATTCACCTTGGGGAATTGACCCATTCCGTAAGGCGAATGCAGCAATTTTGTATTAGCTTCTGTCGCATATTTCGTCAGGCGAGAGGTTAAGCCTGGAGATGTCACGTCGGTGTATGTCCTGGAAAATTAAATAAATAAATAATCATAATCAATATTTCTACTTTCTAATAAAAAAAATATCAGAAAATCGAGAATAGGACTTACTTGCAATCGATATTGTATCTGGTGGACGCAAGAAGAGGTCCAGCCACCGTCTGGACAGCCTTGACTCCAGCAGCCTTGGGTCTAATCTTGGGGCTGATGGAGGTGCCCCAGGTGTTTCCCTCCTCGTTCTTTCCGGCAATAGCCTGTGTAACCTCGGTTTTCTTCAGATATCGTTGTGTCACGACTGAGTCACCGCCGATATCTCCATTGTGAGGCTCTCGATTCTTCCACGGGATCATCGGTGTCGAAGTAACCTTGTCAGAGGCTCTGGCACTCTGATACGCCTCCGACTTTCTGATCCCATAGATATTATTCTCCGATTCACTGATACGAGCATTTCCCCGTTTGGGTATGGGACTGAGCCCCTTGAGAATTTTGAGTTCACCAGGTGTCCTTGGACTATTGAGTGACTCAGAGCTCAACTGGTATGTGATCCTGCGATGACGCTCCATTCTGTCTGTTATTCTCTCTTTGTAGAAATCTCTGAACCCTTGAAACAGCTGGTAAACGTAGCCAGACGTTTGCGATGTGATAATTTTTATAAATTCGTAAAAATAACCACCCGCTGTGGTCAGGTAAGCGTGGAGAATCGACGCGTGTCGTGTCACGAGACTCTCGTCGATGAGGAGTGATACACACGCGTACACCGTGATTATCAGGGCAATTAGAACGCTAATTAGGGCTATTGACGTCGTGTACAGCAGGACGCACCCACTTAACACACTTAATGATACGGTAAAGACGGGGTTAGATAGTTTCCACATATTATTCATTGGAATCAGTGGGTTAACCTCCCCATTTTTGAAAACAGCACATTCACGAGAGCCACCCGGAACACCCGCAACTTCACCGCCAGGTTTCACACTGCTGCCATTTTAACAGGACGAATGCGCACGCAGTTCAAGCCCCCCCGCCATACGCGCACGGCTACCACTCGTCATTAACTTCCCGCGGCATTTGAATGGGTTTCACAATTTTTTACATTTCTCCAAAATTATTCTTTACTCTCCTCGGCTTTTAATTGCAGTTGACATCAGTTTGTTCATTATCCGTTTTTATGATTACTGCATTCGGGAATTATTGCAAAATAGATGGGAAATCAATTTCCTTTTTCTTGGAATGCTGACATTTTTAGAGATTTCGAGATTATAATTGATAGAAGTGGGAAATTAAAGGTGTAAATGGACTTCCGCGTTTTGGAAAATTTTTAATTTATTCTAGAAATTACCAGTGCATCATCCTGTTTACATGGAATTAAATGGACGGTAGTGCACGTGTATGTACTACATATTACTGCACGGGTGGGGGGTCAACGTGCCCGAAAATAAACGTCACTCTATGGGCGACTGAATCTCTATTTTTATCCTAAAAACCCCAACACTCTATCTGTATCGTGATATTCAATACCATTTCAAGCTCACAATCACAGGATTACTAAAGCTTTTTCTCAAAAATAACCCCCGGCGTGTCTAGCATAATCGAGAATATTCGTTAATCCTTTTAAATGTAACGAGATCTGTGGAGGTGCTCAGTAACAATTCGATATCGACACGATAATTATTGAATATTCTCAGAAGAATTTTTGTCATCGAGTTTTGATTTTTCGTACAATAAAGGTGAGTCTGTCATTTCTCATTGCTGAAGAAATTATTCTTCAGATTCGAATTCAATAGAATTTCATATTGAATCTCAATTTAACCTAGATTTGCTGTTAAAAAAATTAAATCCTCTTCGTTCAATTTCCTTTTTCCATAAATTTCCACTGATTTTCGTAACTTATAATTCTCGTGAAGTCAAAAAAAAAAATTTTAAAACAGAATTTTCCTCTGGTTCCGACAGAATGACGAAATCAACATTGTCTCCACGAGAATTGAAAGAAAAGGGTAATGAGGAGTTTCAGAAGGGTAATTTCGATGAGGCCCTCGAATACTACTCGACGGCCTTGAAATTGAGTCCAGAGGACACCCCGGAGAAGTCGGTGTTTTACAAAAATCGAGCTGCAGTACACCTGAAGCAGAAGTCCTACGATAAAGTGATCAAGGATTGCGACGAATCCCTGAAGATAACTCCGAATGACCCAAAGGCGCTCTTCAGAAGGTGTCAGGCTCTGGAAGCCCTGGAACGCTATGAAGAGGCGTATCGTGACGCCAGATACGTGATAAACGCAGACCCCTCCAACAAAGCGGTCCAGTCCATTCTCTCGAACCTCTTCGAAATAGTCCAGGAACGTCACAAGCAGAACTCTCGAACCAGTGCCAAAGTTTCTCAAATGCTGGAGATGGCATTCGACATGAAAACCGACAAAGATAAGCGTGAGACCGCTATGAATAATCTTCTGGTGCTCTCTCGAGAGTCAGCCGGTGCTGAGGCGATGTTCAGGGAGGGAGTGGTATCAAAAATCCTGAAACTCCTGAAGCTAGAGGGGAAGAATGATGATATTGTCATCGCAGCTGTGCGAGTGATCGATGAATTATGCAAAAATAACATCGAGAGGACAGAAGTGATAATCAGGGAGATTGGAATACCCTGGCTCCTAGAGATGATGAACAGCAGGTCCGAGGAAAGGGTTAATGCAGCACAGCACTGCATGCAGACAGTGCTAAACAGCTACAGTGGCTTGGAGAACAAGCCTGAAGCGAAGCCGGATAAAGAGCTCTGTGAGAAGTATAAATCTGAGATCGACACGATTTTATCGTGCCTTGTCTTCATTACGACGAATAGAACACTGTCAGGGCTGGCCAGGGACGCAGTTGTCGAGTTGATCATGAGAAATATTCACCACAATGCCCTCAACTGGGCTGCGAGGCTCGTGGAGATCAGGGGACTTCAACGATTGATGGAAGTAGCCAGTGAACTCGAAGAGTACAAGTATGAATCCGCGATGAATATTACACCATCTACGAGGACCGTGACTAGTGTCTGTCTGGCTAGGATTTACGAGAACATGTGGTACGATCAGTTGAAGCAGAAGTTCAGTGAGGCGATTGATGAATACATCAAGGATAAACTGCTATCCCCAGACATTGAGTCGAAGGTTCGAGTCACTGTGGCCATTACTACATTGTTGCTGGGGCCCCTGGACGTGGGAAACTCCATCGTTGCCAGGGATGGCATTCTCCAGATGATTCTCGTGATGGCTGATACTGATGACATCCTCCAGCAGAAGGTCGCCTGCGAGTGTATAATCGCAGCTGCTTCGAAGAAGGATAAGGCCACGACGATTATTAATCAGGGGGTGAACATTCTGAAGAAGTTGTATCAATCGAAGGACGATGCCATCAGGGTGAGGGCACTCGTTGGTTTGTGCAAACTGGGGTCATCTGGGGGTACTGACGCTACGATCAGACCTTTTGCTGATGGTGCCACTAAGAAACTGGCAGAGGCCTGCAGACGCTTCCTCATCAATCCCAAGAAAGACAAGGATATGCGGAAATGGGCGGTGGAGGGTCTTTCCTATCTAACTTTCGACGCTGAGGTCAAGGAAAAACTCGTGGAGGACCAGCAGGCCATCAAGGCGATGATAGAACTAGCAAAAACTGGAGACAAATCTGTTCTCTATGGGGTTGTGACGACCCTGGTGAACGTTTGCAATGCCTACGACAAACAGGAGATGATTCCTGAAATGGTGGAGCTGGCGAAATTCGCGAAGCATCACATTCCCGAGGAACACGAGCTCGACGACCCAGACTTCATCAATAGACGTCTGGTGTTGTTGGCGAAGGCTGGGGTGACGAGTGCCCTCGTAGCTCTGGCCAAGACTGACAGTCAGAACAGCAAGGAGCTCATTTCCAGGGTGTTCAATGCCATTTGTAGTCAGCAGGAGGTCAGGGGGATTGTGGTGCAGCAGGGAGGGGCCAAGGCTCTCCTACCTCTGGCCCTCGATGGCACTGACAAGGGGAAGAAACAAGCCTCGCAGGCACTCGCCAGGCTGGGGATCACTATTAACCCTGAAGTGGCTTTCCCTGGTCAGAGAATCATGGAGGTGATACGACCTCTTCTCAATTTATTGAATCCCGAGTGCTCGGCTCTTGAGAACTTCGAAGCCCTCATGGCCCTCTGCAACATCGCTGGAGTCAATGACCCCATCAGGAAGCACATCCTCAAAGAGGGGGGATTCCCCAAGATCGAGGCGTACATGTTCGAGCAGCATGAGATGCTCCAGAGAGCTGCCACTCAGGTCATTAATAATCTCGTCATGTGTGAGGATACCATCAAATATTTTGAGGGTGATAATGACAGAATCAAGTATCTGGTCATCCTCTCTGAGGATGAGGATGTGGATACCAGTCTTGCTGCGTCTGGGGCTCTCGCTATGATCACCTCGATGAGCATCAAGGCTTGTAATAAAATATTTGACTCGAAGAATTGGCTTGAGACTCTCAGGTTCCTCTTGGGTAATCCCAATCCTGAGATCCAACACAGGGGCGTCGTCATTGTAGTTAATATGATCAGCAGTGCCAAAGAAATTGCTACGAAGGTCATTGTCACGGATATTATGGAAATATTGATGGCTATTACCAAGAGTGAGGATGTGAAGAATCCTAAGGTAAAGGAAATCGCTCAGGGGGCCTTGGAGGCTGCTGCCAAGTGGGAACTCATTGAGAAACAACCGGAGGAACGGGGTGATGTGCAGAGGGTGGAGAATGAGGGAGGAGTGGACTCGGTCGAGTGAGAAGTTGATGTGTGCCTTCCATATTTGTAAGGAACAGAAAAATTTTTATTGTAAATTAGTAGGATAAAGACTTGCATTTTACGATGGAGCAACTCAATTCCATCTGATGATTCAGTAAATTTATTTATTGTTATTGTACTTCATGAATTTATTTGTATATAAAATATTACCTTTATACAACAGACTTTTGAGTTAAAAATATTGTATCGTACTGAATTGCTTATTGTCTTTTTAACTGCGTGTAAATATGAAGGCGTATTGGAGGCCCTGAGTGCATTACTGCAGTTTGAGAAATGGGTGGTTTAAGGCGTCATCGGCGGTGATTCGAGATTTGTAGTCGACGTCCAAGAGTTTGAGCAGTAAATCGAAAGCTTCGGGGGGGAAGTTCTCGAGTAGAACGGTCTTCAAGGAAAAATATCCATAATTAGGATTTATAATTAATTTAACTGGAGAAAAGGCGCCAATACCTTTCGATAATCATTTCTGGAGTTATCTTTTGGAGGAATCTTCACGCGTGCTCGCAGCTTCTGGCAGAGAGACACTATATCAGTCCCAGGCATGTGCTCACTGCAGATTAATTTCTTTCCTGATGCCATTAAACTTAATTAATTGAAATGGATAAAGATTGAAAGAATGGGGAATTCATTCAAGTGATTTTTTACCCAATTTTCGTGCACATGCTGTCATTTTTTCGGTACCAAAAAGTGTTGTGACTTCAGCAAGAGCTGTGCAGTCGTCTGGACAGCGAAAAAAGGGTTGGGTAGCACTGAGAATGCAGAGCATTATCACTCCAGCAGCCCATATGTCGATTGCTGGAATCAATTCAATTGACAAAACGATATCAACAGAATTTACGAATTCCTGAAAATTTTTTTTGTGACTGTCACCTGGAGTTTGATGAGGACATTTGAACAGCACCTCAGGAGCTCGATATCCTGGAGTACCAGCTCTGGACGCAACTTGTGACGGTCTTGCCAAACACAAAGAGCAGATTCTTGCTTTTCCAAAGCAGTAGCATTTGCTTTCGGCTCCAGGTCTTTTCGTTTCCTCCAGCAACTGGCGTTTATTCTACGAAAGTCATGGGATAGTTAAAAAATATTATTAAAAATATTTATCATTGCCGATTACCTCGTTAGTTCGTTTTCTCTTGACGCAATACGTTTCCAGAGGCGGTGGCTCACTGATTTTTTTTTTCTCATCCCTGTACACCTGAGCCAATCCAAAATCGACGAGTAAATACCTATAACACGAAATAATTCTGTAAGAATCACACATTTTACAAATGGAATAAATTATTCTGCAGATATTGCCTTTTGTTCCTCCTATCGTACAAGAAATTACTCGGTTTGACGTCTCGATGAATGATGTTAAACATGTGGACTTTCCGGAGAGCAACCATCAGAGCCCTAATGTAGTGTTTTAACTCCACTGCCCCCATATTATGAATATAATCCTGCAGGAAGAATTGAACGCTAGAAAACAATTTCATAGTAAAATTAAAAGGTAATTGATTCTCTTACAGAAAATTTCGTGTGTCTTATATAAGGCATGACAAAGGCAACTGAAGCTCCACTGCGAATGCAGAACTCGATTCCCACGACATTGTCAGCACCACTGAAAAATTCAACCACTAATGAAAAATCGTGATATTCACCCGAGGAGAGGGGTGAAAAAATGATTTTTTTAGCTCGATCGATATTCAATGAAATTCTGTTTCTCCCATCTGACTACTGAAAATACCCGATATCCTGGAGACACTGCAACTCTCTCTCGATCCGAGCCGGTGGATAAGTCGGTATCAAATGCTTTACAGCAAATTTCTTGGACTCCTTTGAAGAGTCAGATTCTTTCAGGGTCGCCAAGTAGACGGAACTGAAGGTGCCCTCACCGATTTTAAAATGTATATTAAATAGTTCTCCCAGAACTGGCAGCTCTCGAATCAGAGCGATAATCCTCTCCTCCAAATAAGGCCCTAAAAATTGAAAAAAAAATTCCACGAGTCAGTGGTCCCTCATTATTTCAGTCTGCCCCATCGAATTCTTATCAACACGTGATCCCAGAGAAAATTCTCTCTGCCACAGAAATAGCAATACTTTAATAATGAAAAATAAAAATAGTGACTATCAAAGATAACCTCCAACCCCAACCAGCATTATAAATCCCTCGGTGTTTGAAATTTTTTAAATCCTCACCTTGTTCGCCACTCTGGGTCCCTTCGGTGACACTCATGATCTCTTGGTTCCCAGGAGATACCCCTCATCCCAGTAAAACCCCTGAAAAATTCAACCCCCTTCGAACTTTGTCAGCCCTCGAATCCTCTCACAACTTCACATATTTGGCGCCAACAGTAATTTTTTGACTCACCTGCATCAGTTGACACGTGTATCAGCTGTTGGTTGACATGATTTATTTGTGGGCTATATTACCGCAGAGATAGAGGAAATTCTGTATTTATTTTTCTCCAGGGCGTATTAACTAAATTTTTTTTAATAATTTGGAATTCAATTTCATCTAAAGGAGACATATTTCGAAATTTCGTATAATCGAAATTTTCAAGTCCTCACCTTTCCTGGTAGTTCCATCAACTTTGACTTTGGATAAATAATCTGGAATGCTTGTAATTTTGTATAAAATCCAGTAATTCTTGTACTTTTTGCTTTTGAATAGAAGCCTTTCAACCGGTTGATTTTTTAATTCGCAAATTTTGCCGGGTTTGAGTGACCCCAGGGGCATCGTAGTACTGCACCCCATGGCGCCACGATCGGTATGTCATCAGTACCATTTTTTTATTTGAAGATAAAGTTTCTTGGAAGATACAATTCAAAAAAAGTGTAATTCCAAAGTGTAAATCGAAAAACTTCTGAACCAAGGATTAATTCTTGAAATAATTAATCATTACTCAATTTTTTTCAACAAATTATTGTTTTATTTAGATTATTGAAACATTCAACATGAATCAAAACAATGGTAACTCACATGCCCTGCAAAGAAATCTTCCACTTTCCAAGCAATAATCCGAATTTCGTCAACCGAATCAAATCCAATTCTCCATGTGTTTCTGTCTTACCTTCCCCCTGCCTCTCCCGCCCTTCAATTTAGGTCATCTTATCTCCTTAGCAGGAATCTTGGACTTGACGAGGTCCCAGGAGATAGTCGACCTGTCGTCCTTAGTGCAAAGATCCATGACAACGTAAGATTTATGCCCCTTCTCGAAAGCGAGGCATGTCCCAGCAGCAAGATTATAAATGGGCATATTACTGGTCCCCTTGTGCCTCCACTCTTGGTCCCCACCCATCTCATGACATTTTCCCAATTTTGGCTGCTTCCCACTACCATCTAGGCACAACATCTGCCCAAGAACCAACTCATTCTTGTCTGTCTCATACCACATTTGCGATTTGATCCGCAGACAGGGCGCCAGTATTAATCTAGATCCCTTCGTTTTTATATCCTTTTCGCTTTGCACGCAGAGCGCCGAGTTCGATAGACGAATCAGAAATTGATCGGTGTAATTCCGCTTCCTAGAGTGCCAGGGCTGCCCTGGCTCCTGAGGAATCTGGATAAAATAATAATCAATAATTAAATTTAAAAAATTCGTTTAACAGTTTCATGGAATTCTAAAAGAAAAATGAATTTAATCCTATGAGTTTTTCGATTAAGATTTTACTATTTTATCGTGTAATTTCAAGTTAATAATAACTTAAATAGAATAATAGAAATTTATAGAACTTTGTCTATAACTCGAAGCCTACGTAAATAAGGGAGATGTTGTATAATTTTTAATTCCCATACAACTTCGATATAATTTTGTTATAAAAAATTCCAACGCACCTTGGCCCATTTTTTCTTCAAGTTCGCCTCATTGTCATCAGGCAGAGCCAACTCTGGATAAACATTATCCAGATACCAGGCAAAGTCCTTGCACTTGAGTCTGTCCCTAAGCCTGATCCTCTCCGAGACATCCCCAAAGTCCACTTGATCCACTCCCCTCAAGTAATATTGTTTATACTTGTCCATCCACACATGAGCAACCCTCAAAGAATTCTTCAACATAGTATTTTGAACGCGATCATTGCCATAAGGTCTCCTCTTCCTGAAGACATGTCCCACCCTGGAGCAAGGAATGAGCTCGATGCTGCCCCCGCACATCCAGACCCTAAAAGAGATCTCCAGATTTTCCCCACCCCATACATCCATTCCAGAGTCATACTCTCCCATTTCATGGAAATACTTCCTGTCGATGGCGAAGAGACCCCCAGCCATCGTCGGGGATCTGATGGGCTTCACAAAATCATCATCAGTGACAAGAGTATTCACTGGCAAATTTTCCCATTTGAAATTGAGCCCCCAGTTGAATCCACCGCGAACAAGAGGACTCGCCGAGTACTGGAACGTGTCAGAATTAATTATATCGATGACAGGCATAGGAACGATTGTCCTTGAAACTGAAATTCTGGAGAGCAGAGGTTCGATCCACATGATATTGACCTCAATATGCGAGTCCAGGAAGACCAGGACGTCTCCAGTGGCTTTGCTGGCGCCTAACATTCTGGCACGAATGAGACCCTCTCGTTTATCTGTCTTGAAGTACTTTACCTGTTTCAGGTTGCTGTCAACATAGTTCTGTACGTCATCGTGGAGTTGATCGCTGTCGCTGAAGTCATTCACGAGGATTATCTCGTGGAGAAGAGACTTTGGGGTTCTCGAAATGATAGAGTGGAGGGAGCGCAGGAGTGTCATGAAGTGCTCGTTGTAGAAGCAGATGATTATGCTGGCAGTTGGCAGGTTGGAGGGATATTTTTGGGAAGAGCAGAGCTTGTTTCGAGTATCGGGGATGGCGTACTCTCGGTGGGGGCCTAGGGCGTCCGAGACCAGGACGTTGAACGCGAACTTCTGGTAGCCCTCATCACGCTTTCGGGCTTCTTCTGGGGTGTGCACTAGCCCAAGTTCATCTAGACCTTTCGAACGGTCGTGACAGGTGAGTAAAAATAATTGATCATTAGTTCTGTACTGATAGCAAAGAGGATTGAAAATAAAATGGAATCACAGATGAATGAGTAATTACCATCGCCCAGAGTTTTTACAGGTCTTACAGGCACTGGCTGCAACTGTTTAATCAGTTTATCACTGTTTTTCTTTCCTCCATCAAATGCATTATTCAAGAGCATTCTTTCACTGAGCAATGAGTCCTCCTGGGGATTTAAGTATGATATGAGCATTGTTGGATTGACATTGTTGGGATTCTGTGAGAGTTTCGAATATAAATATAAACTGAATGCCCATGTCAACGATGCAATAACTATTCCAGATATGAATGAGGCGTATCTCGTTGAAATCATCTGAAATAAGAAATTTCCCATTAATTTTTTAGGTTAATTCCCGCAGTAAAGGGCTATTCCACTAATCACAAATTATTCATTTAGTCTTACGTTTCTTTCAGCGGAGAATCAATAGAACGTGGTGATGAAAAATGAGACTTAAAAGTAATGATCGACAGAATGAATGGAAATCACTCCGTGACAGCTGTTCATGTTGACTAGGACGAGATCTCACAGCCGATGGACACAGCAATAAATTGATGAGGGACTTGATTTTTTAATGCACGTAATATCAGCAGTCGCCATAAATGAATGATAGATTAAGACTTTTCTGTGCCACAGTTTGGAATATGGAATTCATGGTCTGTATTTTTTGATTTAACTATATATGTGTAGTTGAGGATTCTTAAAAGACAAAATTGACTCGAGATCCAAAGCCCCTGTGGCCTAATGGATAAGGCATCGGTCTCCTAAACCGGGGATTGTGGGTTCGAGTCCCACCAGGGGTAGTGGTTTTATAATTTTTGTTTTTACAAAGCTCGATTGTCATGCTCCCCTGATACTTTTCGAAAAATTTCGAAATTTCAAATTTCAGTGAATACCTCCTGCATTTCTATGCCCTCCGATACTTTTTTGAAAATTTTGAATTTTCAAATTTCAGTGAATATATAGTTGCATTCTTTAACCACCAGTGAGTTGAGGCGCTGATGTCGCGTGGTTTATTTTCGTAACCATATTTTTGCATAATCGGATATTTTGGATTCTATCATAATGAGTTTTCTTAAAGCTTATTTGAACATTTTCGGGAATTTCGGAAAGGTCATAAAACAGAATGGAGGACCTATAGGGTGTCTTAAAACCCTCTACAGGTAGGACTACCCGAATATTGAATGAAACTCCTTAAATCAATTTCATATATTCGCTTTATTGTTTTGATGAGAGGTTATATTCGCCCCGTATTGACATTTCCGTCAAATAATTTCTTTTCTTAATATAAATAATTCTTTTCCATCAACGCAGAATGGATGATTTAAAATGGGGTACTTTGGTTGGAGAGGACAAATACGGTAACAAGTACTATGAGAACAATTACTATTTCTACGGTGAGTTGATAATTTAATTCATTAATTTCCTCATTTTTTTTACTGATAATAATTTTCCCAACTCGATTTTTGTTTTTTAATCGAGTCATTTCTCCCATCTATTTCCATTAAAAATTAATATTTCAGATATTTCCTCTAATTCTTTTTTTTCTATTCCCTTCTCAACTTGTAATTTTCAATTAGAGCAGATGATTTTCTGATAGTTCTTTTAGTTCTCTTTTTTTTTTTAATAAATTCTCCATCATTTCAGGTCGTAACAGGTGGATCGTTTACGCTCCGTACGTTCACATGAACTACGATGGCTCCCAAGTCCCTGCTGAATGGTTTGGATGGTTGCACTACAAAACTGACCTTTTGCCCCAAAACGATCCCTCTAGACCAAAGCACAAGTGGATGATCGATCATCAAATGAATTTGTCAGGCACCAACCAAGCCTACATGCCATACAGCACGACCAAGTCCAAAGTTGAACCCTGGAAGCCTCCTCAGTGCTGAATAATCACAATTTAAACAAAATAGATTCTTCATTACAAATTGGTGAGCTAGGAAATTAAATATTGATCAAATGTACCAGATGTAATGGACATAGTAATGTAAAATAAATAATAACATCCATTACCACGGGTAAAATAAATATATTAAAACCAAAATTATAAAATAAATAGACCTTTTATTTTATGAAAATTCCAACAGTATTTGAACATATATTATAAATACGTTATTATCTTTAATTGGAAAATGAGAAATGGAGATCTCAACAAATATTGACGCTTATTGAACTAGTTTGGCTGCAGCAACCACCTGGAATGAAATTCAAATAGCTTTTGAATTGATGGAGGTACAAAAACAGTACGAAAATTTTCGTAAGACTGGAATGATTGTGGTATTATTCCCTCGGTTCATGTTAATACTTTTTTTAAAGGGTTAATCTCCCTCCGACGCTTTCTTTTTTCGGTATTCCTGTTCGGATTGATACCCTGGAGCATGATTGTGCTCGTGAACACCAGTTGGCATAAATCTTTCGGCTATCACCGCACATTTTCCTCGGCAGCCACGATGTTGCTCTGCACAGCGGTAGTGCGAGCGATTTAGAACTTCTGAACGGGATGTCAAATTGTAGACGTAGCCCTCATGAACTAGCTGGGGTCGACCTCTAGCTGACAATCGGTACGTCACTGGCTCCACGTCTAATTAGGAATAAAATTCAAGTCACAAGGCTTTCGTTTATTTACTTGTGGCTTTCACGTGTAAAAAGAATCAATAAAAAAAACATCATTGAAATTTCTTCTTCTTTCCAACAGATATGTAAATTCTTCCACGATTTCTATTAATTTTTATTGATTTTTTTCATACGTTTTCAATGAAAATAAATACCAACTTCCTTCTCCTCCAGTCTTTGCACTAGTATTCGTGGGGATGAGCTCATCCAGATCTCCAAAATTATCATCTTTAGTCAAGTCAATAGAGTCATTAACTGCAGTAAACAAAGAATCTTATAAAAAAATCAGCCGTTTTTTACTCGACGTGTTTCTTAAACTAGTATAGAATTGTCAGAAATAAAGTTTCAATTCAATAAATTTATCTCACCGTTTTTATTGATGTCATTCTCTACAGTATTCGTTAAATCTTGATACGTATCATCAGTCTCATGTTTGTCATCATCAGAAGGCCCATCATTCTTCGGAGAAGCACTTCTGGTACTCGTCTGATCTGAAGAATTCTGAGCTGTCAATCCAGAGCTACGTGTTCTCTTGAATGAATTTGTAGAGTTACTCGTCTGCAACAATCGTTTTTTCGGGACTCTGTCCTGTTTAATAGATTTTACATGATCCCCCGGCAGACCACTGTTTTCAAAATCACTCTCGATTTTTGGTACTCCATTGGAGTGCTCTGAGACACTGCCATTATCTCTCGGCAGGTGCTGCAATAATTAATAATAATACAACAATCGCTCCTTCAATTCGTCAGTTTGAGTTCAATTATTAATGCTTGATTAATCTGTCATGGAGTAACTTCTACATTTGTGCCGAATGTATTGCAATAAGGAATTGGCTGGAATTACCAGACTGCTGGAATGAGAAATTAATAAGAGAATGACCTTCAAACTTTGTTTGTCCAACGTGAGACCTTTGACTTGAAGCGTTTCAGCAACTTTCAAAAAACTCGCAAGTTCCTCTTGCTTCACGTTGACTTCACCCTGGTACATGAATTTTAAAAGTGCATCGACTTCGGTGTAGCCCATGTCTTTGAGAATTACTACTGGATGCTGACAAGGGTTGGCCTGGAGAGAATTTATTATCGCATGACATTTCAATTTTACATTGACACGTCATGTGAGTAAACAACAGATCACAACAAGCAGTGTGTCATATTTTTTTGATGTGATGTATGACACTGAGTAAATATTCGGAACATTTTTTCTTGAAATCCTATTCTGTTTAATCTGGGATCAATGGAAGGAACGAAACGATGAGCAAAATAACACGTAGAGATAAAAGAAAATATTTAGATGATTATTAACGAAAAAAAAAAATTTGTTCAGAGTCGATTGATAATTTTTCAGTAATAATAACTGTAATAATTTATTTAAAAGCGCAATTATCAAACTCATTCGAGCTATTGATTCCAGTAAAACAGAGTCATAAATATGTGAATAAATTTAATGAGTTCTTAAAAATAAGTACCTTGAAAATATTTTGGAAGTAAGTGCTGCAAACAGAGAGAACAAGCTTGTGAGCTTGGAGAATTTGACCCTCGACCGCAATTGTGACATCCACCAGGTCCTGATTGTTGAGGTGTGTTAAAAATCCCGAGGATAAATTGTGAGAAAAATTGTTCCACCTGAGAGCAAACTGCTCAGACGAGGGAAAACTGTCAGTCAAAGCCATTGTCGTTCTGTGAAAAGAAAAAGATAAAAGCTCAACTTATCACTATTATTAATAATCCAGCAGCGATCTCCATTGTTTTCACTAATTTATTTACGGGAGTAATTTATCTTCAACAGGGACTCGTCGATACTTATCGCTATCAAGCAATTAATTTTTGTTCTTAGAAATGTAACTACGCGAAATAAATGCTTCTTGGTGAATTGTCGCAGCAAGACAGTTGCTATCACATTGTAAATGACCGTGACATCAATTCGTGCATCATCACTTACGAATTACTCTGGTGACTGTGAACTTCTTTTGCAAAACGAGTTAAAAAAAAAATATCATCAGCAAAAAGAAATCGGAGAGCTCCAATCGATTTATATTTTTTATTTCTCTCGTTGAAAAAATGTGCTCAGCTTCCAAGATAAAAAACGAGGCTAAATTATAATCTTTAGTGCGGCGTTACCGTCGCCTCTTTTCAAATCTCAAATATAAAAATGAGAGATGACAGCTTAGTCCGATAAAAAGCAATTGGATAACTACTTTTTTTAATGAGTGGGTGTAACCAATGGCGCTGGTAAATTAACAATTGATTTGAGAGTGGATTTTATTCCATTCAATACATACTATTCTCTTCAATTTTTTATGTTCTAATATTGTGATTAGATTAACAATGAATAATAATTCGTTATTCACTGTAAAAAATTGGTGAAACGTTTTCTGATAGCAATTTATTCAATTTAATTTAATTTAATTTAATATTTATAAAAATGCATTCTGTTTGGTTCTCCCGGTTTTTAATTTTTTTATTTCAATCATTTTTATTGTTTGAATCATCAAAGAAGCAGATGTGGCTATAGAAATGGCGCTTGGATAAATGAAAATTGAGTCGCCACAGTTTCAATTTTTCAATTAGGAAATGTATGAATTAGAAATATAAATCTAATGAATATGTATACCTTTCTACAACGATCATAAATCAATTTTTCAAAATTTGGGAAATGCCCGTTTCACCCACATCCGCCCTACAAAATATTTTCATCGACATGATTTGTCCCTTTTTATGGTTATATGTATTCCGAGCCATTTGAAAATGCTCCAGCATATTTTCTCCAGAAAACATTTTTTTTAAAGTGTCCGCCTCCCTACTCATAATATTATTTTTCCAAAGTAATAATACAAATTGCTACAATTACTATTCAAATATGGAGTATTAAATATTATCTGAATATTTCATTGAATATATCAAAAATCGTAATAATAAAATAATCTTAAAACGAGACCTTCGGTGATAATAATTTTCCCTGAGTTTCACTTTTCATTTGCCCTCTGAGAAAAATGCAGAAAACTGAAAAAAGGGTTTTATTTGACCCAACGAAATGCGTCGATGGAAACCCCTCACAAATGTTCACCCACACATGATCAGCGCTCCCTAGTGTATTTTACACCTAGTGTTTGCCCACACATGCACATAATGAAGACACCATGACCATCCTGTAGTGTCAGGGTAAGAAATAACAATACACCAGAAGAATAATCATCAAAACACTTCGAAAAAAGAAAACGAAACGAACGAACAGGAAATCACAAGATGAGGTGAATCGAGTGACAGGTGAAACCAGTGAAATGTACCTCGTCATCAAGTTTTCGTGTTTGCCAGTTCCGGTGCGGTTCCCGTGAGCTGCAGGGGCGGCGTGGAGACGAGGTAAATATATGTATACATAATGGATCAATAAATTATTGGAAATGGGATATTTTCCTGGAATATCCCCACATCGCCTCCTCCAAACCCTTCGAGACTCCAGGAAGAAAAGGGTTTTTTCCCGAGTCCTCGCGATTCGCACTCGTCAGATCGACGTAGTCATGTGAAGACATTTGCGAAAATCAATCGTAACCTACTCCAGTGGAGAAAAAATTAATGCTGAATGGCTTTGGCAAGTCTCAGCTGGACGAAAATGGAATAACAATCGCTGGAATACGTGATATTAATGTAAACCTTGAAATTTATCTCGAATAGAATGAGAATGTGGTGAAGCGATTGGTGAGGAGGAGAGGGAATTGTGGATGGTTGTGTTAATTGTTCATGGTGTTCAAGGTGACGATGATGGAAGAGTAGATGCGCCTCATGGCTGGAAGCATCGGCACCGGCAAGAGGGGAAATTTTCATAGTGGAGATAGGAAATGCAGAAGAAATACTGGGCACTTGGATTTTTTAAGTGAAGCTGGAAGTCAGACGTTTGAGAAACGGAAGATTGTTGAGAACAGACGTACTTACATTCATAACATTTCTACACTCCAAAAGAGTATATTTAGGTAATTACGGTGTTTTAATTATTTTTTTATGGTTAATTTGTTTTTAATTGGAGAGCATACGATTGGAGTATTATGACAGGTTGTTCTTAGTTCGACTTTTCAATAATCGGTGTTGGTTTTTAGAATATTTTTGGAGTGTCTGCATTGTGATCTTTACATTATACACGAATCACACGTTATACAGACAAATACTTGTATCGTTAAGGCAAGAGCACCAAAATTGTATGACGTGTTAGAGGATTATTTCGTTAATGAGGGGAGACCGAGTAAATGCGTTTTACGATCGGTGGAAATCTTCCAACAGGTCCAGGATTTTGTGAGGTAATTATGGCTAATCATTAGATGCTGATAAAATATGCAGATACTTGTATATTTTTGGAGCAATGACTGGATTTTAGAAACTTATAAAATTCCTGGAGTTTAATTGAAATATTTTAATTGCAAATCAATGAATTTCAGATTAATATACTGTAATCTGGACATCACCACCGACGAACTTTACCTAGTCCACATTTTGAAGAATGACTTCACGTCCTTATCTCTCTCGGGCAACGATGTAAACTTAACCCCGAGTGCATCAGAAATGGCAGACTCCGGACTGGAGACAGGTTCCTTCAGCCTCCAGGAGACAACAGAATCTGAGAACTCTGGCACAGACTTGGAGGAGTCCCACTACATCTCTACAGACGACGACTTCATCAGGGTTTCCATAACCGGAGACATAGTTGAATCGTCTAACAATCAAAAGAGGCAGAATGATAAATTTTCTCCAAAGATCTCGACTCCCATGAATCTTACTTCTCCCAGTGGAGCCTCTCGGCAGGATCCTTCCTCGTCAGGGAGCTCCTCTCGAGAGGAAAAGCACATGACTCCATCTAAATATGAAAACCAAGTGCTGAATAATCCGGCGTACGATTCAGACACCAACGACAACAATCAGGGTGCCTCCTTCATCTCCACAGCCTCCTTCGAGTTCCACATTGCGGAGAGCAGTCCCAAGGAAAAACCTCTCAAACCAGAGGGTAGAAATGTTATAGTGGAGAACCCCTCCTTCAAGAAGAGTTCCTCCAGCATAAACAGCTACTACTTCATCGATGCCTCGAGCCTCAACGACGAGCCAGACGTATCATCCCTGTCAATTCTCAGCGAGGAAAAATCCTCGACCTCCCTCCCTCCCTATCTAGAATCCTCTTACATTCCCTCCAGGACACACCCTGAGGACCAGAAGCCGAAAAAGTCATCTCTACAAATTGGCCACGAGAATATGGCGCAATTTCAGCGAGAGTTAATACTCACTGAGTACTTAGAACCCATAACAGAACCGAGAAAGATAAAGCGAGTGGATTCAGCGACAGAGGAGAAGCCTGAACCAATGGTGGAAAAGGAGTCCCTCGTGGTGGAGATCAAGGAGGCAGACAGTGGTGAGAGCAATCATCCCTCCCCCTGTATCGATAACAATAAAAAGGCGAGGGAGAATGAAAGTTCACAGGGAGAAATCAACAGGCTGACAAATGAAATTTTCGAGGGGCCAGTGTCCAATACCACGAGTTTGAGTGACTCCAGGAGGTCCTCGTTGATTAGAGGGAATACCTTTGAGCTGGAGTCAGGGGATGAGAAACTGTCGCATCTTCGGCAAGAGTACGAACGTCGTCAGGGTAATCTAGTCTTCAAGAACTCGATTCCACAGTATTCAGGGCATCGAGTGGATGATGATCTTATTTCGTCATCCAATTACTCGATCATGAATTACTCAGAATCGTCGAAGAGCAAGAATTTAGGAGGGGATGATAATGGAGGGGTCGGTGGAGGGATGGGAATGAAGAGTGCGAGTGACAAGAATCTTGCCGAATGCTCGGAGACTGATGACAGCTCCATTGGGGATTGTACCAGCCTTCCAGCGACTTTTGAAACCCACATGATGAGGGCGAGCAGGTCTGCAACACCGAAGAGACCGAGGAGAGACGAGACAACGCCAATTGTCTCTGGAGGTGTGAGCTCTGTAGATTATTCAACACCTGTTGACAGCCCCATCGTCAGAAGAAAAACTGAATCGACTCCCATAGTGTCAGGGGGTGCTGTTTTAATGAATTCTCACTTGATGGAAAAAGTGACAAAACCCAAGATGTCCTCTTCCATGACCACGTGGATCGTGGACATGAGTGACTGCGGCAAAAAGCCAAATTACTCTCTGGGAAACATGTCCCAGAGTTTCTCCTCCTCTGACTGCATCAGCAAGAGTCCAAACAATCGGTCAAAAGGAAGTTTAGGATTTTTTGTTAATCTCAAGGACGTGGATCCACCCAAGGACGACAAGTCCGGATGCTCCAGGAGGGAGGAGGCCACCCAGTTTTTCGTGGATCTGTCTAAAGTCTCAGATAAATCCAACAAAGTCGAGACTAATGGCAGGATGAGGGAGAATTTAGATAAAAAGAACATCTTCTCCATGTTTATCGATCTCAATGACTCAGATACTGGTAAAATTCAGGGTAAAAGTAAACCCGCTCAACCGAGGAGTTCGGATGACAGTGGAAAAGAGGGAGGAAGTGAATCCTCACAAGAGTCTCGATCAGCAGAGAAGAAGAGTGTATTCATGTATATTGAGTCTGACTCCCCAGTGGTGCGGAGAAGGACTCTGTCGACGTCGAAACCTACTTTACAGAGGCATTCGTGGAATGTAGAGAAGGTACTGGGGAATGGACTTAAGGAGCCCTTTCGCAAGGAGCACAAACGAGCAAGATCCGTATCCATTGATCCAGATATTCACAAGAAAATGATATCAAAGAATAGTGGATCTATTTGCTCGTTAAATCAGGAAAAATCACCGCAATCAGCACAATCTGCACAATCAGCTGCGGCTCCTTCCCAGGACTCCCTTCCAAAATCAGAGGCTCCAACGGAAATTTTAGATTACGAAATCAGAGACACTCCACCCAATTCCCACGTGGAGATAATCAACGAGGACATCTCTCGCTGTGCAAAACGCCATGAACTCAAAGATCTGATGAAGAGTGACATGGGGTCTAGCACAGAGGCCTCGGTGGACCCTAAAGCCACCGAAGTCTCTGACGATTCCGTCTGGGAGAAGACTGGCACTGAGAGCACAGAAGGACACACAAGAAAATCCGAGACATTTGACATCAGCAGTGGTAGTGCTAGTGGCCCATCCTCGAGTGATCACCAGGAGTTCGAAATTTCTGAGTATAGAATGGAAAAACTCGAGGACATACCCAGTAAAATCTCTGAGACCCACAAGTCCCTCACGAAGACCATCAAAAAAATAGAGGACGAGTTGGATGACGATTACGACGACGACGATAACAACGAGGACGACGAGGACGAGGATGTCGACGTTAACACCCCTTCTCAAAAAGCCATTTCAGATATCAAGGAAGCTTCGAGCTCTGGTTTCGTGAGACTCTCAGATCTTGATAAAACTCCAGCCAAAGTCGATGTCACCACTGAGGACACAACGAGGATCACAAACCTCTCCTACAGGATGAGCAAAAGCATTCCTGAGACATCCTGGGTTGAGAGTAAACTCGCATTGAACAGGAGCAGCGGTCCTTGCCCAGTTAGAACTCTCCTCAATACGAGAAAATTCACCTCGATAATGAGTACATCACTTCCTGCAAAGCACAAGTCCCCCATTGACGAATTGCAGAATGATGTAGATCCTGAGATGATATCAGAATCAGAAATCAGCAGCATGCAGTCAAGCATGGGGCGATCTGGAGCTGATGTGAGCACAGAGGAGACTGAGACCTCGTCATTCGCCAATGTAAAACCCTATAATAGACTTGGGGAGGATCTCTTGAGGATGTTCCTAGAGGAGATAAATCCTGATGTTACCATCGACGTCAGTGGCCGGAGAATCAGGGCCCATAAGTGTATATTGAGCTCCAGATGCCAGTATTTTGCTGCTATTCTCAGTGGTGGGTGGATCGAGAGCGCTGGAAATGTGATATCTCTTCAGGGTTACTCTTATTCATCAGTGCACTTTGCCCTCTGTCATATTTACAGTGGAGAAAGCAATATACCTGATTCAATTAGTATTGTCGAACTGGCAACGCTCGCTGATATGCTGTGCCTTGAGGGCCTCAAGGAGGTTATTGGGTACACGTTGAAAGTCAAATACTGTCATCTATTTCATAAACCCTGTCAGTTGTGTGCTGTTGGGGTCCTCGAGTGTCTTCCCCTGGCTGCTGCCTATGGCCTCGATGAGGTTTACAGAAAGTCTCTGAGGTGGATTACTAGGCACTTCGTCAGGATCTGGCCGTGTAAGGCATTTGCAACTCTCCCAAGGGAACTCATGGACAAATGCTACCATCAGCACATCGTTCACATGTCTGCTGATAACGTCCTCCAGACTATCATGGAGTGTGATAAACTTCTGGCTACTTTACCCAATATCAGATGGGCAGAACCTGTCTTCAGAATGGTTTCCAATTTGCTCGAGACTGCTCTCAAATTTTTGTCTGATAATTTTTCATCTGTACTGAATAATGACAGCTTCCAGGCTCTTGGGAGAGATTTAACGTGGAATATCAGTAGATTGGAGGACAATGTTCTTGCAGCTGCCGACAGACTTCCTCCGGATCAGGCGTGCAGGAGTTATTCCAAGTTGTTTAAGATGTTGGGAACTGTTGGCTGTGATGAGCACAAGCAGTGGAATCCACTGTTTGTTGAGTTTCTGAAGAAAATTCAAGCAAGGGTGGAGAAGTGTTTGGTTAAAGAGGCACCCAGGGCTGCCAGGACTACAACCTGGCTGAAAATGGATCTCGAGCTGAGGAGGCGAATTCAGGAGCTCGCCTGTTTGGTTATTCTGCCTCATGAGGCCCTGAAGAGGCCCATTAGGCATTCCAGGGAGATTATCAAGGAATCTAAAACGCTTAATAAATCCTCTGTGAATAGAGGTATGGAACTGAGGAAAATCAAAATGAATATTTCTGATGAAACGGTGAGTGCGTCTAAGGCTGGGGTAAATCAGAAGAGGGTAATGGTGAAACCAAAGACAGATCCTCTGGAGCGAAAGATGCAGGACAGTTCTAAGACTGTCCAGGCATCCGGGATGAGGCCAAAGTCTTGGCCAAATAAATTGGAAGTGAAATCTAGATATTTGGAACCGAGGACGAAGTCAGTACCAAAGGATACGTCTCATGGCTTGCCTGAGAGGATTACTGCAGTCCAGCAGAGGAGAAAAATCATGATATCATCGTCTGATTCATCGAGAACGTCGAGTCCAGCTATGAAAAGGGCTGTGGACAAAAAACCCCCAACCAAAATAAAGCTGACGGTGAAGAAAGAGATGACAGTCAAGGCATTGTCCACTGACAGCTTGACAGAGTCTTGTAACGAGAGAGCTGTTAAAAAGGACAATTCTGTGAGCAAGAGCTGTGGAATCACCAGACCAGAGTCACCATCCACGAGGGCGAAGGACGTGCCTGCGGACTCTCTGAGTGATATTAAAAAGAAACGACCTGCGGTTGTGAAGAAGACTCCTGGAAAAATGGACACGTCGATGTCCACTGACAGTCTGATGGGAGAAATCAGTGGGAAAGCAGTTTCGAATAAAGTTTCACCGACTTTGGGGAGAGCTCAGGTGAAGAAGAGTCCTCCGATGGCCCAGAAGAGTCCTCTGACTGTTGCCAGACGACCTGTCAGATCAGTGGAGAGCTCCACAGCTGCCAGCAGGAATAGGGCTGCGGCTACCAGCATTTATCAGGGTTCTCCCAACCTCAGGAGAAATCTCCTGGATGCTGCCAAGACTCCTGACATTGGTAGGACTGTTAATGGGGTCTCCAGGATCACTTCTAGACAGAGCACTCCCTCCACTAGTACTCCACCAGTGGGGAAGAGGGAGAAAAGGGATAGCAATACTGCAAGCAGCGAAAGCCCCAGCAAGAGATCTCCGAAGATGAATGGGGTTAATCGACCTCCAAGGGTTGCTGTTAAGAGAGTGGTGGAGAAGGGAAAAGGAAAGCCCTCGGAGACAACCAAGCAGCAACTCACTGTAGGCTCAAGGTCTGGAACTTTCCTCAAGGATGAACCTACCATTCTTAAAAAATCTGATATGAAAACTACACAGGTGATGTCATAAGGAGATTTTTTTTTCCACTTGTGAAGTGAACAGTAACTGAAAAACATCTGATGGAATAATCCCTACCTGATGCTGATAAATTACAAATTGAATTTCTGCTGGCTTTTTGGAAAGTTTAGCAAAGGAACGGGCTTTTCTGGTGGATATTTTTCACGAGTCTGGCTTTGGGGGTATGAATTTTTGAATGTTCTGGAGGCAAGCGGCGAACAAATGGTAATGAGACAATATAAGAGTCGAGAGGTATTTTCTCCTGGGAATTCTCTCAGCTACAAAAATTTCCTTTCATTTTTTTTCTCGATATTAATTGCTATGCGAAATGATTACTTATCTACAGAAATTGAAAAATTTATTTGATTTATTGTTATCTATTATACTATTCCATTGTTTCTATTGTTTCATTGTACCACTTCCTTCTGAAGGTTCTAATGTTTTCATACTCTCAAGATTATGTAGTATTCCAACAAATGAAGGAATATTTCCGTTTAATATCCAAATATCACAAAGAAAACTCCTTTAAATATATTACATTTTTAAATTTCTAACGAATTAAGACAAATTCTTGGTCTAACATCACAATTAATGTGAGTAATGAGTTTATCGTACTATGTAAATTACAGAGAATCCAGAATGAGAAAAACGTTGAAACTCTTGGCTTTAGGAATGTTGATTTTAATTGCGAATGGTGGCATTTATCAATTACACGTAGAGAAAAAACACTCCATATGCTATGAATTGCCTAACTAATGACCTGATTCTTGCCGATGTAGGCCACAGGCAATTCAAAATAGAGAAAAATTATGTTCATCTTTATTTTCTACTCCCTATCTTGATTTCGCCCTTACCTTTCGCAGTTTTCTCGAGTTTACGTACGCAATTACACAAAATAAACGAAAAAAAGGGAAAAAAAACCGATAGAAGTTATTTGAAGATAAATCAACGTTAAGTGGATACATATTTAATAATTACGTAGATATTTAACGGCCAGTTGCTGACGCGTTAGATTAAAAATGAATATTTCACGCCATTCGATCGATTACTAAAATTAAAAAGATATCGGTGGTCGCATTTTTAATGAAATGATTATTGAGAAAAAAAGAGAGAATATGACTTTTTGTTTGATTTACTCTATTGAGCTTTGTCATTCAATCATTTTATTTACCGTTTCTTCTTGGCCAATGGGCTTTCATTTTTCTTTTGTTCAATTATATTTTTCTTCCGAACGAAAATGGACTGCTAATTGCAGTGGAAAAAAACTGTCGTAACAAGCAGGACATGTTATGATTGATAATTTTCCATTATTGAATGTGTCATGCTGGTGGAAATGTTAGAGAAGAATTCGACACTAGAGGTAATCCGTGGCCATTTCAATGCGCAAGTTTATTTCTCAGTATATTTATTTATCGAGACATTGATATTGTTTTGCATTTGCAATGTACATTTATATGCAATATTTGTATCTAGTCATTTATATATTTTCAATCGTTTGAATTTAATGTAAACGTTTATGATAAATATTTAAATACAATGAAAAATTATGGAGATATTGTGGTAATATTTATTTAAAGCCTCAATAAAAGACCACATAAAATAATAGGTTTTATAAAACATTTAGATTCTTCCCCTAATATTTCATCGTCTCGATTTTTTCTCAATTTCTTCTTGATTTTCTCGATGTTTTCATTGAAATATTGCGAGGGTATGGATTTTCGTTGACAAGCTTAAAAATTTCATTCCATCAAAAATTGTGTTTGCGAATTTAAAAATAAAAAAATTGATTGTTTCTCCTCCGCATTCATCTCCAAAAGAGATGAATTATTTATAAATAATTAATAACTTTGAATGTGAATGGAACTCGAGAAATTTTCTTTATCGACAGCTACGAATCACGTTTCCTCATCGGTTTGTTCTGAAAGTAAAATTGAATTTGCAATAATTCTAGTAAGAGCTAATCTTCATAATAAATCTATCAATCAAATTGAAATAAAAGGTATTAAGAAGAGGAATTTCACAGCCTCTGAGCTCAATTTGGCTTGGTGAATTAAATTTGATAAATTGGGCTTTGGTTGGGCATTTACAAGAATAATTAAAATATATAAAGTCTAACCTCTTTGAAAAAGCCCTCCAAAAATATAAAAAAACTTTCGTCACTACTCACACGTCATTAAAGCTGGGCCTAAAAATCATCGACAGGAATGTCTGGATCATCAATAATATCGAATAGAGACAGAGACTGCCTTGCATGTCGATTGGTCAGTGGTTCAGGTCTGATTGGAGCAGGTGTTTACGTTTCTTATCATTCCAAAAAGTTCAACAAAACTCCAGGGAAAGTGATAATGCATTCCATCGCTACTGGTAACCTACAGAGTCCTAATATCAATCCTAATATCAAACCAAAACATTGCAGTAATTATCGTATGAATTTTTCAGCACTCGTTTTTCTCGGTTCTGCGAGGATCTTCAATCTACCACCATTTCGTCGTCAATTATCCTAACAATGACCTTGAAATTATCAAGTGATATTCTTCAATTGATAGATTATTGAATATTTTTTTCATCCTAATAAATTCTGCAGATGTCAATGATTTCTCCTCTCCACTGTCGGGAACAGGCAGAAGCGAAGAGGTAAATGGGAGAATTGATTCAATTAATAGAAGAGGTTTTAAGAGATGTGTCTGAATCTGAAGATTACGAAACTTTACGTAGAACCCTTTTTGTAGACGAGATTTGAAGCTATAAAAAAGATTTCGAATTGAATCAAAGAAGATTGACTAGACAAGAGACTCCGTTCTGCAAATTTTATATTAAAAATTCTTTTTTACGGGCGACTCATGAAAAAAAACAGTGATTAGAGCGTATAGAAAATTACGACTTTTAAAAATCACTTCTGGCCAAAAATTCACCTCGGGTGAAATTTCACATTTTACATCTGAGATACCTCATTTCGCGTATTTATTCTATCGCGAACCACCCGTTTCACTCTGAAATCCGTTTTACATCGATTTTTCACCCAAACCCAGTAAAATCAAAAATTAAAAAATGGGAAAATAAATACAGGCCCCCGTTACCGACACGAATGCGGGAGAACTGAGCTTTCTTTTTTTACCGCAAAGTGGAACCGAGTCTGAAATCCTGTAGTTCTTCATTCATGGCTCCACTTACAAATGCCTGCAATCATCTTTCCGTAGTGTCAGTCACTTAGTTACGATGAGTCTCATGACGCGACAAAATTAGTCGAATATCCCATTCACCAGTGTTTTGTGGTACCTATAAAATGCTGTGAAAACTTGTATCATCATCAGTGTCTTGTGAATCATTTGGAAGAAGACTCTATCTGTCAATAGGTAAGTCATCGTTAATCATGATAACCTAGTATCAGTGCGAATGATGAAAACTCCAGTGATTTTCACGTCAACATTGAAAAACCATATTGAGCCACAACAAAATTTCAATTTTTGGAATATTCCGCTGTTTATTTGTCGTGAAATTACGCAGCTATTTAATATCCCTAAAGGCTTTAATATCAATTCCGGATAGATATATCCGGATATAATAAAACCACATAAATGTTTTTTTTTCTCCATTTCGATGGAAAAAATAATATAAGTCAAAAGACTTGGACTAAATTGATTTAATTGAAACAAATCAATTTCATTTGACGCAAATTTCTGTCCATAGATCCATAATCAATAGATCATGGTGAATTTCAGATAATAAAAATGGAGTTGCCAAACCTGGGTGAGCACTGCTCGGAGAAGAGCTGCAATCGTTTGGACTTCCTGCCCCTGCGCTGTGATGCCTGCGAATCAATATTCTGCACAGATCACATATCCTATCAGGGCCACTCCTGTCCGAGTGCATATAAAAAGGATGTCCAGGTGCCCTCCTGTCCCCTGTGCAACGTCCCAATCCCCATGAAACGTGGGGATCCCCCTGATCTAGCTGTTGGCCTTCACATGGATAACGACTGCCAGTCAGATTACGGTAAATCGAAAAAAAAGGTATTCTCGAACAAGTGCTCCTCGAAAGGCTGTAAAATTAAGGAGATCGTTCGTGTGGATTGTAACGAATGCGAGAGAAATTTTTGTCTGAAGCATCGACATCCTGCTGATCACAATTGCATTGGCCGGACTGAGGCTGTTAGATTGAAGAGATTGGAGGCCATGAAGAAGACATCACAGCAAGCTAACACCTCTAGAACCAGTGAAAATAGAAATTCCAAGACCTTTAAGAATATTCAAGGGACAATGAGTGATGATGAGGCACTCGCCAGAGCACTCCAGGCTTCTCTTCAGGAAGAGGATCGAATACGGAGACAACAATTGCAACCAGTGCCTTCTGGAAGTCGAGATAGATGTCGATTGTCTTAATTATTTCTTTAGAAAAGTTGTGGTTAGGCTTTGATTGCTACATTATTATCAGTTTTCTAATATTTCATTAACTGTCTGTGATTTTTTACTTCATTCAACGGGATATGTACAGCTATTGGGCTAAATTCGTTCAACATTTTCAGTTTTTCCTGTTGAACACTATATTCAATTGGATGTCCAACAAATAGTAAATTTAGGCTCCAGTTGTTTGAATTTCTACAATTCCCTATCATTTTTATTAAGAATCAATTAATTTATCCTCAAGAAATTTCTACACTTGATGTTTATAAGTCAATCATAATTGTTATTAATTTAATCTTTGCATTTTTCATTATAATGTAGTAACCACGAAGCCAAAATCTAAGAAATTGAAATCTTTCCTAGGATAAATACTGAATTACAGTTTGTAGATAGATATATTCAATTTTAAATTTGACTTTTCTAAGAGTATTCTTACAACGACAATTTTATCCGACTTTTTCACGCGGCTACTGTCAAAAACCGGCACAAATTCGAGAGATTAAATTGAGGAACAATAGCCTCAATGATTTTTGATTTAAAAAAATGAATGGAAGAACATGCGCTAGCTCCAAATGCTGAAAAATATTCTGACTTTGGTAAGGAGATCGCTCCAGCAGGAATAATACACAGGAATACCGACGTGTCTTCATGGATAAAGAATAATCTTTAAAAAACCGAAGATTCAACTCTCCAGTGTACGCATAATCAATGAGGAAGATTTCTCCGTGACACTTGCTCAATCGAACTACTCTGATAATTCGTTCGTCGTTTAATTTGTTATATATGCATGGATTTGAATTTTTAATGAGAATCCACTGGATTCCTCGGTTTCCAAGATTTTCCATTGTTACCCCCCGTCACTGGCACTATTGTGCTGTTTCTACATATCTACGCTTAATTTTAAATATTCCACTAGTTTAGTAAATGGCAGTCATCGCAAACAGTTCAATACTCAGAACAAATTGGCCGAGATCCAGAGAAGTTTGCAGTTATCTCTGTATATTCCATCCACATTAAAAATAAATCGCGCAATTCGATTCGAAATACGTAGAGATACTTGAAGCAGTGCCTCCCGCAATTTAACGATTAAACCTTCGATTTTTCTTATCATAGGCATAGGGCAGAGGGAATTCAGCAGTAAAGAGTCAAAAGGTGACAAGTAGATTTAACTAGTAGACGGGCTTTCGGGGCATATCTCTGAATTTAAGACAGATAGCAAAATTTTGATAAAGAATTTTTTTGTAGTCATCATTCGATTCTGTACAACAAGTTCTTTGGAAATTTTTGTTATCTCTCTTAGATTCATAAATATTCGGAATCTTGATGTGAGATTTTTTGCTTGGTATCCAATTTGTTACTCTTCACCTCTTTGTAACTGAATTACCCGACCTCCTAACCATGCATAATAAGATAGCGAATTGCCTGCCATTACATTCCTCACAAATTTATTCTAAGAGTTTCAATGAAATTTTTAAAATTTATTGTAAATTTAATAAATATTTATTATCTCAAAATTCCAGACAATATGTTCAATTCTCATCTTTTAATATTTGAATTCAGATCGATGTGGGTAAATGAGTATTTTATCTGCACTCATGTAAATAAACATGAACAGTGTATTGAGAGTCGAGAAATAGGTGGACTGAGATATGAAATCACTTTTGACAAAGACGACTTGCCTGATGAATTTATGGGAACAGATTAATTTTTAAGAGAAGAGAATCTTATTCAGTTGACGGAATTTTTCCTCCCCATGTAAAAACAAAAAAATTGATCAGGACTTTCCACTATTTTTTAAATTAACAACTGTATATTTTATACAGTTCAAAAGTATTTCTGTCTCTCAGTCCGATGAATGCTCGACGAAGAATGAAGAGCTTGGAGTGATCTACTTGTTCTACGAATTAAATTCCAACCTTCCCAGCCTTCGTGTCGGTCTTAGGATTAGCTGTGATGTTCTGAACAGCTACAATCGCCTCATTGATGTTCGTCTGGAGATTCCTGAGGTCTTGAATGTACAGTAAATTCAAGGCTTTAGCTGTGTTGTTCAGGACTTTGTCTCCCATGTCGAAGCCCATCTCTGTTTCCATAATTGGAAATGGGGTGCCCTTGATGACGACGGAATGAGGCGCCTTGATAACAGCTGTATCCAGTCTTGCTGTCACGTATTTGCTGCAGGCCTCCAGAGTTATTAGGTGATTCGGATGTTGAGGGATATTCAATTGTTTCGCTATTGATTGCACACCTTCTCTGAATTCATCGCTGGTAACTGGAAAAAAAGTGGTAAGAAACATGAGTCGAGTGTTAATTCTTATTAAATATCTATTTATCTCTGAAACGATATATCTCTACTTATGAATTCCTTGCGAATGGAATTGCAGGAAACTAAGGTACATCCTGAATTAATACCCTTAATTTATCTAGGACCGTTTTTGTGAAAATAAATGACGTGTTCTTCAACAAAAAACTTACAGTCAAGATTGTCTAAGGGATTCGTCGATTTTACGCTAGGGACTTCAGCAATCTTCGCTGCATCCTTCTTTGCCTGATATTTCTCAACTGTAAAGTCGACGAGGCAAAACGTGATAAATGCAGGGTAATTACTTGAGTAACGTGCGTAAATTTTAGGAATATCTTTGAGTCCAACAGACATCGAAATTACCGTCAGAACCATTTTTGATAAATTCTGTCTTTTCGATTCAGAGATATTCCTCGAAAATTCATCAATCATTTAAATCCACTTGCTCACCTGTGCATTAAATATTTATACAGAAAATACTTACGGTTGTCTTCAAAATCGAGTCTCACAGCCAAACCCACTAACCATTCAAGTTTGTCTAAATTCGTCGTTGTCACTGGACAACCGACGTCCAGGATATACTTCTCGAAAGTCTTGTTCCATTCTGTATTATGAATATCTCTCAAATCAGACCTGTCCTGAATGGCGTAATGACGGATTTTCTGGTCTTCCAACCACACCACTAAATTCTTGAAGTGCTCGGGATCTATTTGAATTCACAAAAACTTTGAGAAACGTTTCATAAAAAAATCGAGATGTAAAAACCCCTATGTCACCGAATATTTTCTTTAGACGTATCTTGAATCTTACCGTTACCATTCACCTGCCCCCAGGACGCATAATCTAAAGCCTTTAATCGATTCTTAAACATATTTAATCTGCACACGAGTTAATCTCCTCTTGCGATGGTATTTGGGATTCACATCAGATGATTTCAATAATTCTGCACGCGTAATTAGAGATTATTATTAACAAAATGTGGCAGACGTCATGTGACTCGCCAATAAATACTCAATGAAAAACACGAACTGCACCGGAGATGATCTGATATTTATAGTAAGAATATCCAATTATTTGCTGGTCAATAATTCAGACCGGATGAGTTCTTTTAGCAGATTCTGAAGCTATGGTGTGATGTATTTAATGATGTATTTAATGTAACGAATATACGTAGAAGATAATGTGATTTCTGCCCGGTCTTTCAGGGACATCAAGAACTATCTTCTAGATATGTAGGAGGTTGTCTTTTCATGGAAGATGTCATCCAAAGAGGATTGACTGAAGTAAAGGCTCAGTTCTGGGGGGTTGAGTGACCCCAGTGGTATCGTAGTACGGCACCCCAAGAGAGCGAGGACGCCACACGCAATGGGGGTGTCGTCCCGTCAGCCGACTCGGTAACTGCCTCAGTAGCAGTTCCGCTATCAGAGGGACCAGTCAATGGGGTGAATTTTATTTTATGTGTTACGAAATTGGTATTCACTGAAATTGAAAAATTCAAAATTTTCAAAAAAGTACCAGGGGAGCATGAAAATGGAGGCGGTATTTACTGAAAATTCAAAATTCAAAATTTTTCAAAAAGTATCAGAGGAGCATGATAATCGAGGAGGTATTCACTGAAATTGGAAAATTTTCAAAAAAGTAACAGGGGAGCATGAAAAACGAGGACGTATTTACTGAAATTTAAAAATTTTAAATTTTCAGAAAATAAAATTCACCCAGACAGCGGGACTGCTGAGGGAGTTACTGAGTCGGCTGACGGGCAGACACCCCACCACTGCGTGTGGCCCCCTCCCGCTCTTGGGGCGCAGTACTGCGCCGCCGCTGAAGTCACTCAAACCCCCACTGAGCTCACCCCAAGAGAAAGAGGGGGCCGCACCCAATGGTGGGGTGTCTGCCCGTCAGCCGATTCGGTAATTGCCTCAGTAGCAGTCCCGCTGTCAGAGGGATCAAGTCGCTGGATGAATTTTATTTTTTGAAAATTTAAAATTTTTCGATTTCAGTAAATACCTCCTTGTTTTTCATGCTCCCCTGTTACTTTTTTGAAAATTTTTCAATTTCAGTGAATACCTCCTCGATTTTCATGCTCCTCTGATACTTTTTGAAAAATTTCGAATTTTCAATTTTCAGTGAATACCGCCTCCATTTTCATGCTCCTCTGATACTTTTTTTGAAAATTTTTAATTTTTCAATTTCAGTGAATATCTCCTCGATTTGCATGCTCCTCTGATACTTTTTGAAAAATTTCGAATTTTTAATTTTCAGTGAATACCGCCTCCATTTTCATGCTCCCCTGATACTTTTTTAAAATTTTTAATTTTTAATTTTTCAATTTCAGGGAATACCTCCTCGATTTTCATGCTCTCCTGATACTTTTCGAAAAATTTCGAAATTTCCAATTTCAGCGAATACCTCCTCGATTTTCATGCTCCTCTGATACTTTTTGAAAAATTTCGAATTTTTAATTTTCAGTGAATACCGCCTCCATTTTCATGCTCCCCTGATACTTTTTTAAAATTTTTAATTTTTAATTTTTCAATTTCAGGGAATACCTCCTCGATTTTCATGCTCTCCTGATACTTTTCGAAAAATTTCGAAATTTCCAATTTCAGCGAATACCTCCTCCATTTTTATGCTCCTCTGATACTTTTTTGAAAATTTTTCAGTTTTCAGTTTCAGTGAATACCAATTTCATAACACATGAAATAAAATTCACCCAGTTGACTACTGAGGCAGTTATCGAGTCGGCTGACGGGACGACACCCCCATTGCGTGTGGCGCCCTCGCTCTCTTGGGGTGCCGTACTACGATACCGGTGGGGTCACTCAAACGCCCAGAACTGAGCCTCTACTTCAGTCAATCCTCTTTGATGTCATCTTTCGGAAGATAATCAGCAATCTGCCAAAAAATAAAGGACAGGTAAGCCGAAACAATATTTTACTCACCTAAATCTCATTATAAGAATTGTTGCATAGTATAAAAAAATAATGAAAAAAAGTTGGTCCTGTCCCTCGTATATTCTTCAAATCTGAAAAATAATCAAGATCTCATATTCTGTAAAAAGTAGGAAAAATAGACCACTTCGCCAAATCATGTTAAAAATTCAGTCCCCAAATATCAATGTATTTTTCAAAATTTCTAATTGATTACAATTTGTTTCATTTACCTATTGATTCATAATATTCAATAATATTTGAGATACTATTCCATCTATATCATCGTTCAAAATGTACTCAGAAACATTAGCTGTAATTTATGAAGCGGCAGTAAGAATTATAAAAAAATGTACCACTGTCTTAAATCGGGTGAAAAACCACTCAGTTTCAGTCAGGCCCTATCAGGCCCAATTTTTCAATTTTTCTTTCGTTGATTCCGAAAAGATAACTAGGTATAGATATTTATCTTTCAATGTCGATCCCTAGGAGTTCATGCGGAGACCGCTAGGTGGCGCGAGCAGTTTCTCTTCATTACGAAATGGCCGAAAATATTGTGCAGTGGCACACGCGATTCTCGTCACGTACCTCCATAGTTCGGATACACACCATGAGAAGTCTAGAAATATCTCAGAACAGCTGATTGACAGTGTTGTGAGTGTGTGTGTGCAATATTTTGTGTAAATACCGAAGTGATTCAATCAATTTTTTCCATGAATCATTGTCCCGATTAGTGAGGAATCTTAATGCCGAATTAGGAAATCAGTGTTCGTTGTTGGAGGTTAGGGATTATTCGCGCGGCATGTGTTTGGTCATTGTTTATATTTTTACGCGAAGTGATAAGTGAGTGTTTGTGCATAATTTACTCGGTGTTTCAGAGAGTTCAATTGCATTGACTCCTTCACGACGAAACCTGAGTAATCAGCTGTTCAGTGGCAGTGACTCTGGGAGACAATTTGGGGCAGTTGGAGGATTCCACAATTCATCCCTCGGTGAGTGCCCTTGACACATTTATTTTATCGATTATTCTAGGGATTACATGACAAGATGTTTGCCATCGGATATTTATGGATTATATTCTTGACGTGAGGCTTTTCCGGCGAATTGTTTACACGTGGATGAATTAGTTTGGCAATTCTGGGAAAATTCATAGAGACATCAAAGAGAAAGTGCAAAAGAAAAAAACCACATGAGTTTAGCTCGTGGTTTTTAACACGATTTGAGTGTGTGGGTTTTTTTTTTGTTTACCCTTTCTCGGCTTACTTTTTTCGCATACTTTGGTAGGGGATTTTCGTTGATCCTCGGAATTATTGCGAAATAGGTGTGGAAAGGGATGAAAAGATTGAGGGGTGTGGGGTGTTTTTTTGCTCCACTAGCGGCTTATGAGGTTAGAAAAACAAAAAATTTTTAATCCTTCGATAGCTCAGATGGTAGAGCGGTGGACTGTAGTTGGTTAGATTCGTAATGGACATCCATAGGTCGCTGGTTCAAATCCGGCTCGAAGGAATTATTTTTTCTATTTTTCTCCAGTATCGGGCTTTTCCTGTCGTTGTCGCGGATTAACGAGTCTCTCAGTAGAACTTTTTCAAATTTTTAATCGTAGACAAAATTTTCTACATTCATCACCGCATTTATTTATCTTTCGTTAATTTATCGGTGTCTGTTAAGAAAGGTAATTTGTCGATGGCAAGTTCTTCAGATATTTTTTTTTCTCCTGAGATCTACATTGGTCGGGTTTTCAGAGACCATCTTCTGCCTATTAGTCTTTATGAGAGTTAGAAACCTATTAAATGATTTATGATATGTGATGGTACATGTTAAAAAGTCGTAAAAATTATGATTACCATTGGTTGCATGCCATCTGTCAATGCAAAACTTTTAAAGTCGTCCAAGTGCCTCACTTTTCATTCTCTGGCATTTTTCTTTTTTTCCAAATGTTTGTTGCATTTTCAGGAACAAATGTATGCATCCATTTCATGATCCAATGAATAGATAATGGAAGAATTTTACGATTTTTTGTTATTTTACTGCTTTCGCATTGATTCATCAATTTTTCCTATTTTTTTTTATCATCCATTCAATGTGTCTTAAAATGGATGGATACCTTCATTCCTCAGAGTCTGATCAATATTAAATATTTCTTAAAAACGAAAAATGATAATTGGATTACAATTGAGGCTTGGAGCGATTTTAACAGTTAGATTAACAGCTTTGTTTTTTTTTTTAATTATAATTGTTTCTACTTTTTGACATGCCCCATTATATACAAAAATTTGGGGAATAACTTCTTTGACTTTATTTAACATTAAAAATTATAATTAAATTAATATAAAAAAATCTGAATTTATTAGCAACGATAAAGTGCCATGCAATTTCTTTCTTGAATTTTTAATATAAATAAAAAATTGAGTGACCAAAAATTGATAAAAATAGCCGCACGCCTATGGAAATGTGTGAGTGATTGACAAACGGTGAAACCAAAAATCTGTAGATTTTTAACGTCAATCTGATCGACAGTTTCCCCGAAATGAAAAAATAATGATAATTGAGAATATGTCGGGAATAACTGCTCAAAATAATTACTAACTCCCGCGACAATATTATAGGATCATGGTGTTATTTGCGGTGGATAGGGCCCTGATGACAAAATTTTTTTTTCCAACTCTGCTTGTCCAAACACGGAATCAGTGAGTTTGTTTTATGCATGGGAGTACCCACTCCGGCAGAACGAAATTGTGTGCGATATTCAAATTTTGCCGACTATCCTAATTACATCAGCTGGCAAAATTCTGGCATGTGGTTGGTGCTATCTGTTGGAATGATTCAGAATCACAGGGGATGGGCTTTTGGGACATAGAGTTAAAACGAGGCAATGGGAAAATGGTCGAGCATTCTCCCCCTAGAATGGGAAATTGCCAATCGGCGACAAGTGCCTCCATTATTTTCGTTATCAATGCTATTAGCATATAATGCTCAACAAATGAATATGATATAGGGAATGAAAATCACTCGATTCTATATTATTATTGTACCCTTTAATTTTCAAAATAATAACACATGTACATGTTGGAAGGGACATGTAACTGAAATCCTCTCGTTCAAGCCGTTGGCATTTTCAGTCCAATGATTTCGAGTGTTGGTTAAATTTGGCTAGTGCTCAATCATTCTGGCATCAAATGGATTGACAGTAACGAAAAAAAAAATCAACCCACCACAAAGTTTCCAATTACTGCTCTTTCATTTGAATCAGAGTGCATGTAGTACACAAAAACATGAGCGTATAGACAGCATAACATCATATACCTTCGAGGAAATTTCAATAGAGATGTGGGTAAACAGATTCATATGGATTACAGCCTTTTCATAATTAATTGAGGCAGCATCCCATTATGGAGATGATCTTTCACGCCGTTTAAAATTTTCCAGTCAATTTTTCCATTTTGTTTTCAAATGTCACAGAAATGAAAGGCTCATTGAAATTCGACCGTATGAAAAATTCATTCTGCAACAGAATGAACAGGATTTTAATCATTTTTAATTGTTCGATAGGCGTGTAATGCATTGCCCGTGTTACCTATTTTTTTTTTAATTTCTGACTTGCCGTTTTTTGGAAATTTTTGCGGCGTCTGTTCTCATCACTTCTTTTAAATTTCCTGTTTGACACATGCCATATGCCAGAATTTTACAATTTTTTAAGATTCAGTGTTCCCAAAAAATTATACAATTGAAAATTTATACGGCATTCCGACTGCAATTCCAATAAATTTCTAACAGTTAGAATTGCAAAGGAAGAGTCGTGCCGAAAATTGGATATGAAAAAGGAAATATTAAAATAGAGTTCTGCATATTCTCACAATGCAAGTGTACCATTGAATCTTATAAATGATCCATCTGAGGGGGTGTTGAAGTGAGAAACTAGGGGTGAAAAAACCTAAGAAGATAATAAAAGAAGAAAAAACAGTGGGAGCGGTGAAAAAGTTGGTAAAAAAAGTAATCTCAGCTTTCACGGCCGAGCTGGAAAGAGCTTTTCCGCACTCTTTCGACAGCCAACTCCTCCATTTCAAAAATTTTCCCTCTCCCTCGTTTTTCCTTCTCTTTATGATCACAAGATTTATGATCGCGCCGCTTACAGTGTCGAAGGATATTATTTATCGTGAAGATCCTGAAGTCACAGTGGCATCGCATTCGGAATATATGAATTATGGAGGTAGAATGCCGAGAGGCGTAAGGTAAACAGAGGGCTCTTGGCCCAAGATACTCGGGGGGTAAGAACCAACGGAAATATTTTATTTGCGAGGGAATGGTTGCACCCAGAAGTTGCATTATTAGTTTTTTCTATTGAAAACCTTGTAGAGGGAACTCTCCGGGAAAGGTTTTCCGTTCTGCCGCTGCTCTGGTTAGCCTATTCTTCTTCAACCTACTTGTCGTCACAAAAAATACCACTCATTCTAGTCGATTATCGATTCGATTTCACTCCTATTACACGCCGTTGGTTATTATATTGAAATTTTAAGTGGAAAAAGTGGAAATTAACGGCGATAAAATGACATGAAATTTTTGTAGAATTCTTCGTCGACGAATTAGTCGATTTCGTTATAGGATTTTTACTGGGCGAATTCTTGAGTTCTTCGCACATTCTACACGATGGAATTATCGACAGATAAATTCGGTCCAATTCATTTGGAAGCCGACTAACAGTTAGATTGGTTGAAATTAAAGTAGAAGAAAAAAATATGGAGTTATAAAAATATGAGCATTTATATGATCGTCATCATATAGCTTCTGTCGTACTACTTGTTTATTTTATTACTGTAATGATATTTTATTGTTGGATTGTCGGTTGTTGCTTTCTTCAAGTTTGAGTCGTCACTGAAATGATTAGACCAGAATTTGTAGATTAAAAGGTTCACTTCAATTATCGAGTTCTCTTGCGGTTTCGCAGTGAGATTATGGTGCCAAGAAAGTTAATATTTTCCCGTCATTGAACGCATAATTTTATATTTGCGGGGGAGAGGGGTTGTAGTAGGAGGAATTTTTCTGGGATAGGTGGACTTTATTTGTACTTGTTTCAATCTCCATGTAGATTGAACGTTGAGGGGTGCCTTGGAGTGAAGCAGATGACATTTGCAAGCTGGAAAAAGCAATTCGTGCAGCGAACCGAATGCTTGTTTCCCTCCGGATTTCTCGGTTTATTCGTTTCTCTCGCCCACCGCCAAATGATGCAACTTTCTGCTTTCTCCTGTGGGATGATGAATTCCACTCTTATTCTTCTCGACGGAGTTATTCACTCCAAGTTTCGGGCTATTTCACCTCCCTGGGCAGCTTGATGAGAAGACCCTTACAATTTCAGAGTTTCCCTCCACTTTTCACTATTCAACTTGAAAATTTATTTTTTTTATTTGTCGGATATTTTGTCTCATTCAACTTCATTTCCCCGATTTTTATAAATAGTGCCAGTTGAACAATTGATGTTTAATGAAAAGTTCCCGTATCTTGGAAGATACAATAAAAAATCAATTATTGAACTTTTGAAAAATAAGAACTCCTCAATTAATTGAAATTTTCACATAATCGAAGAATTGGAGAATTTACATTTATAAAGTAAAAATTCGCATTTTTCAAAGACTTGTTGTGAATCTCCGGTGCGATGGAAATTTTTCCAAACTGTCCCCGGAAATTCAGCCAAAACCCAGCGATAAAAAAATTTTTAATGAAAATTTCAATTGAAACCAAATTTCTATGATCAATTCGATCTCAAATCGATCTCAAATTCTGGGTTATTTCCAAAAGTAGGCTATCGTGGTACCGGGAATTTAAAAAATTTGAGTACAACGATCGATGAAGAATAAGTGCGACAACTTGCAAGACATTTTCATACCGAAAACATCATCATTCGAGAAGACCGTAAACCGAGAAATACCTTTGCATTTCACAGACGGACTGAGATGTTTCCCTGAAAATGTCGATAAAACTCGATACAGTGATGGAGAGGGGAGGGGGGAGAAGGAGGGAGGTAGGGAGGGTTCAGTAAAACCGGTATAAAACGACTTGGCCAAGTGTCGCACACGTTGTCCACATCCGTGGCCACAAGCCCAGAAGTACTCACCATTCTTTCAACCCCCGTTTCCACCCCCAACGTCTCTCCTTTCAGTTGTTGCGATTGGCGAGTATCGATGAATCTCGTAGTTTTTCCTTTTTCCCCGTGGAGACCGCCGCCAAACAAATATCCCAGCGGTTTTCAATATTGATACTAGTCGACACGTCTCACCCATACAGCTTCTCTCCAACCGATTTTCTTGTGGAACTCGGAATAAAAAATTGCATGACATCCATTAAAAAATATTTCATTTGCAATTTTAAACAATTTTTTATGTTTAATCAATTGTTGAATCCCGGGTAAAAAAAAATTGTAATCGAAATACTTTTTCCAAATTTTTAATAAATTTCTGGAAAATTATTGAGACAATTTTTTTTTTCAAACAAACAAAAAATCGGGGTTAAAGCAA